AGTCTGTTGATTGTGCATATCTGATTTTCCCGGCAAATTTATTGAGGAGATTTGGTCATGGCTGCCTTGTCAAATATCATCTGAATGCATACATGAGCATTTATTTCTGAGCTCTGCTCTCTTCCATTGATCTGTGTGTGTGTGTGTGTGTGTGTGTGTGTGTGTGTGTGTGTGTGTGTTTGCCAGTATCATAATGCTTTGCTTACTGAACGGGGTTGATTTCTTTTTTAAAGCTTCATTTTATTTTTATTGGAAAGTCAGAAATACAAAGAGGAGGAGAGACAGAGAGGAAGATCTTCCGTCCGATGGTTCACTCCCCAAGTGGCCGCAGCAGCTGGAGCTGAGCTAATCTGAAGCCAGGAGACAGGAGGTCTTCCAGGTCTCCCACACGGGTGCAGGGTCCCAAAGCCTTGGGCTGTCCTCAACCGCTTTCCCAGGCCACAAGCAGGGAGCTGGATGGGAAGTGGAGCTGCAGGGATTTGAACCGGCACCCATATGGGATCCCGGGCGTTCAAAGTGAGGACTTTAGTCACTAGGCCATGCCGCCAGGCCCAAAAATAAAATTTTTTAAATTAAAAAATAAAACACAGCTAGACATTGCTAGGAAAGTCCTAGCAATTTGTGGCAAAAAGACCTTTTTTCCTTAAAGTGAGAAATTTTCTTAAATTTTTTTAGATCTTATTTTTGGTGATGTTTACCTAGTTGTCTGGAGTGGCAAAGGTCAAAGATCAGGGGAAAGCAGGTGAGACCATTGTTTCTAAATTTTCTTCTTCTTGCATCTGGGGGAAGTGGGGAGAAAAGGAGAGAAACTTCACCCGGCCTACCAACCGCCTCAGCACCCAGGAATGGGCAACGCCCACCCGATGTCATCCCAGGGTCCCCAATGTGGAGCATGCTCTGATGGTTCTGCTCATGTGGTTTTGATAGTTCTGACATGCTGTTGATGTCACACTCCAAGGATGAGGAAATCCTTCCAAGGTCAGCTGGCTGACACAGTCCACCTTAGAGTCTCCATCTGCCCAGATGTTTGCTGTCAGTAATTTGCTGGGTTGCTTGTCCAGTTTGCTCTGCCCTCCATCCTCTGCTGTGGTATCAGATGTCCCCTGCAGGCCCCAACAACTGTCTTATCCCCTACATGCATCTGGGTATGCCATCCACTGCTCCGTCTGAGCCACTGAGGATCATGCACTCCATGATCAGACAATAGCTCCTATTGGAGCTCTGAATCCAGTGGTTCAGTTGGGAGATCCCCAAAGAAACTTCATCTGAGGTGATCCCAGACCTGACTCCTGTGTGTGCTAGCCAGTATGGTTTCACTTAGTCCGTCACCCACATCAACCTACGCACAGACTGGTAGTTGCAATTGATGGATCGACTTGTGTTTCCAGCCCCATCAATCGATGATGCAGCCCAACCCAGTCCTGCCCACCAAACACTCTGCTCTCATGTGCACCATTGGGAACTGCAGCCTGGTCAGAGTGATCCCAAATCACCCCTACCAGGGCTGCCTTCAGTCCTCGCTCCTGTGCTTGCCAGTATGTGCAGCAGACTAGTCCTGTCTGTCCCACATCCCATTCAGCTCTCCTACATATCAGAGGGTGTTGAAGCCTAGCTCGCCCAATTGGCCTCGCCATCCAGCCCACAGTCATGCCAGTGGGTGCTACCGCCTGTCTAGCCAGGCCTACCCCCAGCCCTAGTTCTCATGTTCACCGATGGGGGCTGCAGCCCATCAGAGAGGTGCCCACAATTTCCCTACTGGATCTTCTCCCAGTCCTGGATCTTGCACTGTCCAAGTGGTTCTGCGGCCTGGCTTGACGGGGTTTGCCCCCATTCTCAGCACTTGCCAGCAGATGCTGCAGCAAAGTCCAACCAGTCTACCCTTTCTCTGGCTCATGAATGTACTGGTGGAAACACCCTAACCCAGTTCCCATGCAGGCTAATAGGTGTTGTAGCCCTACCTGGCCTCATCTGTCCCTAGTCCCTATTCTTTCTCACCATTGTGAACAGTGTCCCAGCAGAGGAGTCCCCACAGGCCCCCTACCAGGCTCACACCCTCCATTCCCCCTCCCTCTGGTCTCACATGTACTGGGGCCCAGTGTTGCAGCCCAGGCCAACATGGCCTGCCTCACCTCAGCATTTTCTAGTGGTGCTATAGCCTGGCCAGGCCTGATCTGTCCCCAGTTCCAGCTCATTCTGCTGGTAGGTGTTGCAGCCTAGGCCAGCCCAGGCAGTCCCCAGTCCAGGCCCTAATGTGAACTGGCTCGTGTTGGTGCCCGACCCATTCTGGTTCTCAGATGTGCCAATGGGTTTTATGAACTGGCCCAGCCTGGCCTGCCCCAAGACCTGACCCACATGGATGCCAGCAGGTACTACAACCTGGCCTAATCTTGGTTGCCCCTGTAGGTGAGCCATCCTCAAACATGTCAAACAAATCAGGCAACATTTGCAAATATTCAAATTTTATATAGGTCTCACAGGAAGGTTCTCGACCCAAGAATTGAGTGAGCTGGTAAAGCGAGACGTACAGTCTTAAAGCTGTTGACCTAGAGAAATGATGTAGTATGCTTTCTGACCTACTGTTAGCTTCCCTGTTCATTCATTGTTTCAAGATGATCAGAATGGAAGGGTGGGTGCCCACCGCTGGCCTCACCCGGCTCCCTTGATGTGCCAACAGCACACACCCACACAGGGTTATTGGGCAGGTCCCTTCCATATACACCTGTCCTGCATGAGAGATCAGGAACTGGAATATTGACTCCCAGGGAGGACTCTGGCTGGTTTCAGATCTTATCAGCAGGTGTATAATTCAAGGTCCAGTGAGTTCCCCTCCATAAGAGATGCCTTTGGGAAGATGCCATCTGTGTGCTGAGGGAAGGAGATGAGCAGGCAGGTTTTCCTAGATTCCAACCCCCGTGCGAGTCTGAGTCGGGCCCCTCTCTGGTGGCTTCCTTACTCCTGTTTGTAGAATGGTGCCTTAGTTCTTGTACCTATGTGACAAGCTGAGTCATTGGAGATCGCCATTTTATGAGTACACATACGGGCGCGCACAGAACGCGCTAGCCTAACACCTCAGGACTTCGGTCTGTTTCATGTCTTAGTAACACGTGTAGGTTTATCAAATTGCTCTGCTCATAAAATTTTTGAAAATGTAAATCATGAGTTAGGATATAAATGCTCATAACTAGGAAAACATTCTTTCCATTTTAACGTATTTTAACATTTTTAAACAAATCTATGTTAGTGCAGTACAAGCTTCTGATGGAATTGTTCTGAGGCATGAATTAGCTATTACACATAAAAGGACCCATGAGTGAGTAAGCTGATAATAATACAAAGTTTTTCTCCTGCACTGGCACTTAACAAGAACACCTCCCAGGCTGTTAAAGTTTCAACAGTGGATTACTCAGGCTGTTGACCTGTCATAGAAATACCCTATAATTACACAAACTAGTCTTCTGTTCTGGGACATTTAGTTTCTTTCTTCCATGTCCTTGCACAATAAAGCTCTGGTAAGCTTGCCTGTTGGTTTGTGTCTAGCTCTCTGAGTCCAAGGAGTAGCCAGCCTTGATGAGAACAGGTTCACGTCCCTTGGCTGTAGGCGAATTCCCTTCCCCAGGCAGGGGGAGGCCTCCTTGTAGTGGCCCCAGGGAACCCTGAAGGCTCTGGGCTTGATAGTTCCACCCTGGTGGATAGGATCTGTGTGTGAGGGGGAGCAGTTTTGCACAATTGTGCATATTTTAACCTCTTTTGTCTATTTTTACTGAAACTACTATTATTCCTTTTCTTTGTTTATCTATTTTGTTTACTTATTTGAAAGAGTTTCAGAGAAGGAGAGACAGATCTTCCATTTGCTGCCGTACCCCAGATGGTAACAACATCCAGCCCAGGCCAGCAGAAGCCAGGAGCTTCATCCAGGGTCCCCCACATGGCTCCAGGGGTCTAGGCACTTGGACTTTCTGCTGCTGCTTTCCCAGTCCCATTGACAGGGAGCTAACCCAAGGCAGAGCAGCCAGGGACAAAACTGGCTCCATGGGGAGATGTTGGCTTTCCCTGCTCTGCCACAGCAGCAACCCCTTGTGCTTTCCTGTAAGCACATCATTTAATGCAATTGTAAGAAAGAGAACTTCTGTCTTAAGGGGGGGAGCTCAGAGAGATACTTGAGTTTGTTAGAGCTAAAGGGAAAGGGGGAAATTCCAGGACGGGATTTGCCCAGGATCCCGTAGATGGCTGATGGGAGCTCTGAAACAGGAGCCTGGGGTGTTGCTTGTTGTGTATGTGTGCATATGTGTGTGTACATAAATGCTGAAAAATTAAAACATGTGTTTATCACAGTGTTAGTAATACATGTTAGCAGACAGAACTGAAGGCAATTCTGGTTTCCTTTGTCATCTTTTTTTTTTTTTAAGATTTTAGTATTTATTTTTATTACAAAGTTGGAGAGACAGAGAGGAAGATCTTCTCTCCATTGATTCACTCCCCAAGTGAGCTCAACGGCTGGTGCTTGCGCCGGTCCGAAGCTGGGAACCAGGAACCTCTTCCCGGTCTCCCACATGGGTGCAGGGGCCCAAAGCCTTGGGCCGTCCTCGACTGCTTTCCCAGGCCACAAGCAGGGAGCTGGATGGGAAGTGGGGCCGCCAGGATTAGAATCGGTGCCCATATGGGATCCTGGCGTGTTCAAGGCAAGGACTTTAGCCGCTAGGCCAAGCTGCCGGGTCCTCCTTTGTCATCTTTTTGCACTTTTTCCTAAATTACTTCTAACATTATAAAGAAATGTTGGTCTTGTGATGGTTCTTTCCCATGCTTCCTGTGACTGCTCTGAGCTTAGCTGCTAAGGTGGGGCTGCGTCCTGCCCGGCCCCTCCAGATCCTGCAGGAACTCAATGTCAGCACAGGCCTGCATGCCCCAGCAGGGTGGCAGTGTGCCAGGGTGGCAGTGTGCCAGGGTGGCAGGATGAGTCCTGATGTCTCTCCTTTCCCTTGTTCCCAGCAGCGTGCTATGGGATGGAGGCAGAGGAGAACCACTACATCGTGCAGCTGCGAGCAGTCTACAGCAGCTGCGACACGACAGGCACAGGCTTCCTGGACCGGGACGAGCTGACCCAACTCTGCCGGAAGCTTCAGCTGGAAAAGCAGCTGCCTCTGCTCCTGCAGACGTTCTTTGGCAGTGACCCCTTCGCCAGGGTGGGTACCGCACGACCAGGAGGCCCTGCCCCGGGCCCAGCGGGCAGCAGACAAGGCTGTGTGAAGAAGCACAGCTGCCGGGAGGTGGGCTGACCTGCTCTGTGCCCACAGACTGAGTTTCCCCAGAAGGCTTTGCCATGTAGTGTAGGAGCTGCCAGAGGTCGGTTCTACTTGGTTCCTCCAGGAGATGCTGCAGTGGAGTAGGGTGGAGAGGGGCTTGGTGCTGATGGTGGCCCTGTGGGTCACAGACGCATAGGCTGGATCTGGGGTTCACTGGTACAGCACAGCTCCTTCCTGGCACCTCCAGGACAGATTTGCTGAGAGGGTCCACAGCTTGAAATTCATCCAGCACAAAGGATCTGCAAGTTCAGAGGTTTTCCCCTGGTTCATCTGGCAGATGGATGATGTGAGCTTGGAGGATAGTTTCCTCCAGGAAATTCAAGGTCGTCAGGAGTGATAACCTCTAGGTCGTGGTGACCTGCATGAGCAGTCAGAGCACCCCACTGTTCCCCCAGGACCCAGACCTGAACATGTCAGTGCACAGGCTAGGGCTGTTGTTGCTCACCTGAACTCGGAAGGAGGCGCCTTTGTCCTCAGGATGTCATGAACTCCTTCCATTTCATGTGGAAAAAAAACAGCAGCCAGTATGTGTCCTTGCATTGGCCCTTGTGCAAAACTAAGCACAGCCCCTGCTCCATCCCTCATGCTGGCCTGTGGGGGTCGCCAGGTGGCCCCACCCATTGTCTCTCCTCTGCTTGCATGGCAGGGAGCTGTCCGCCTCCCCCCCCCCCCAGGAAGTACTGCTCCCACCTGTGGGAGAGGGGCTGTGCCGGCCCTGTCTCCTTCCTGCCTTCTTAGAATGCGCCAGAGAACAGATGGGTCTTTGATGTTCTTGGGAATTCTGTTTGGGACTTAGGTAAACAAAAGGCATATCTGTAACTCACCAACACTCTGTTTATCTACTTATTCGTGTATTTTAAGCATATGTAATTTCCAAGCCTCTAGTGGCTATGCCCATCCCACAGATCCTCATGGACATGAATGTTGTTACATGAAAAGGCTTGATTGATTTCATTGAAGGGTGGAGAGACAGAGAGAGACCGTCCACCCATTGGTTCGTGCTTCGAATGTCTGCAACAGGCAGGGCTGGATCAGGCCGAAGCCAGATCTCTGACAGGAAAACTAGGAATTCTGAAAATATTTTGCACCAGTTCTCTACTTTTCAGAAAGCTTTTGAAGTTCTTTGTCAGATTTGGGAAGTCTTTTCAGACCTGACTCCCTTTGGGTCTGTTTTAGTTCTCTTTCCCACCAACAGTTAACTCCCACTCACACTAGCACCATGGATACGTCTATTTCTGACCTTTGAGCAAATAGAAGTGTGTAGTACAGGGGACAGTGTTGTGGCATAGCACAGTAAGCCTCCGTCTGCCGCCTGTGGTATCATCATCCCGCAAAGGTGTTGGCTCGAGTCCTGGCGTCCTCACTTCCATTGCAGCTCCCTGCTAACGCTCTGGAAAGGCAACAGTAGATGACCCAAGTGCTGGAAGCCCTGCCACTCCCGTGGGAGACCCAGATGGACTCCTGCCTTCTGCTTGGCCTCGCCCGTGGCAGCCATTTGGCGAGTAAAGCAGTGCTTGGCAGATCTTTGTCTCCCCGTAAGGCTGCCTTTCGATTCGTACGTGTGTGCACACACGCATACACACACGCCACGTTGGCTTCCTACTCAATATTTCGCTTCTGTGATCCATTCACGTTTTCTTATCTGCTAGTGGTTTGCTGTCTGTCATTATCGTGCATCATTGGGTAACTGCCTCACAATTTATCCATTTGGTTTAAATGGGCATGAGAGTTGTTGCCACCGTTCTGTAAGAATAAAAGTAAAATAAAAAGCATGCTAGACAAACTAAGAGTTAGCATTATCAAGAACAGGAAATTGTAGAATCTGAACTTTAAAATAGATGGAAATGACCTCTGATGGGAGACCAAAAGTTGTAAACTTAGGGCCAGTGTGGTGGCATAGCAAGCTAGTCCTCTGCCACCAGCACTGGCGTCCCATGTGAACACTGGTTTAGACTGCATGTGTTTATACCCAACAATGCGATCGCCTGTTTCTGTGTGGTTAACGTTTTATTTTATTTTTTGCTTATGCATATTTTAAATGAACATTTATGTTTCATACACACAAAGAATATTGATTTGCATTTAGAAAAGCCAATGAATTTGCAACCAGCTTTATTGGCAATGGAAATAGTTTAAGCTCTTCATGAAATAACTATTAAAAACAGAAATATAAACCTCCAACTACCTCTGACTCTCTTAGCCGAAGGAGTAAAACTGGAAATTATTACAAAAAAAAATAATAATTCTGAGGCCAGCATGGTGGCTCAACAAGCTATTTCTCCACCTACAGGTGCCAGCATCCCATATGGGTGCTAGTTCATGACCCGGCTGCCCCACTTTCCATCCAGTTCCCTGCTGATATCTTTTTAAAGATTTATTTTTATTATTTTTTCATTGGAAAGGCAGATATACAGAGAGGAGAGACAGAGAGGAAGATCTTCCGTCCGATGATTCACTCCCCAAGTGAGCGCAACGGGCCGATACTATGCCGATCCGAAGCCAGGAGCCTCTTCCGGGTCTCCCATGCAGGTGCAGGGTCCCAAAGCTTTGGGCTGTCCTCGACTGCTTTCCCAGGCCACAGGCAGGGAGCTGGAAGGGAAGTGGGGCTGCCGGGATTAGAACCGGCACCCATATGGGATCCCGGGCGTGCAAGGCGAGGACCTTTAACCACTTGCGCCACCACGCCGGGCCCCCTGCTGATATCTTAAGAAGGTATTAGAGGATGGTCCAAATCCTTTGACCCGTATACCTGCGTATGAGACTCAGAAAATAACTCCTGGCTCCCAGCTTCACATGGGCCAACACTGGCCATTGTGACCATCTTGGGTAGTGAACCAGTGGGTGGAGGATGTCTGTCTCTGTCTATATATCTGACTTTCCAAATAGAATAAATAAATCCTTCAAAATATGTAAAATTAGGGCCCAACATGGTAGCCTGAGTGGTTAAAATTCTTACCTTGCATGCACTGGGATCACAAGTGGGCACCGGTTCATATCCCGGCAGCCCTGCTTTCCATCCAGCTCTCTGCTTGTGGCCTGGGAAAGCAGTCGAGGACAGCCCAAAGCTGGATGGAAGTGGCAGAGCAGCCAGGACACAAGTTTATTTAGAAGGTAAAATGACGGTAAGGCAAGAAAGATCTTACATTTTCTGGCTTACTCCATGAAAGACCATGCAGCCATGGCTGCACAAGGCTGAAGTCGGGAATCAGGGGTTCCCTCCAAGGTCTCCCATGTGGGTGGCTGTGCCCAAGCATTTGGAGCATCCTTTGCTGCCTTCTTCGAGCTGCATCAGAGTGGACCTGCAAGAAGGTGGTTGGCATGTGTGAGCTATTTTAACTGTCGAAAGATTCTTTAAGCAATCGCTAGGTCAACCACCACAGATGTTTTTCTTCGTATGATGAAGACCAGGCAGCTAAGCTTATCTGAACATCCAGAGGGACCATTTGTCCCCATTGCACTGGCAGGTTTACAGCAATGTTGTACAAACAGAGAAGCAGGGAGAATGCTCAAAGGCCCCTCCACCTGACCCCCATGCACGGGGCAGCTCAGGGCTCTGTTGCAGGAGCAGTGACTGCTGGTACTGGCTATTGCGCAAAACCTGCACCTCAGAAGAAAAGATGCCTGCTTGGCTCTGTTGGAGATTTTCATTTAATTTAGACATCTCATATTGCCATTACGTTGTGTGTCAAAAATAGTTTGAGCAAGTTTAGACTGTAACACGTGGTAGTTTGAACCTTGACCCCCTTGTAGGCGTAGTTTGCCTGATGTCGCACTTATCTGTGACTAGCACTAATGGGGGAGCCGGGGTAACACAGTGTTACATTTGTGTCCCCCTTCTTAAACTTTGGTGATTAAATTACTACAGAGAACACCGCCCCAGTTGATTAACTTTTTTTTTTTCTGCCTGCCCAATAGGCTGGTTGATTATTTCCGTTTTTAGGGCTAGTTGTCTCTTGAAGAACTTTTTTAAAAGTTCGTGGAGCTTAGAAGTCCTCCCACAACTGAATGTGTGTATAAACAAAAACTTGTCTGATAGCTCTACGGCAGTATCTATTTCAGAATCACACCTGTAGAAGCAAGACTAATTTAGGGATTCCAGGTTAGCTCTTTTGTCATTGCAGAATTGTATTTGTGCTGCTGTTATACTAGAATAACTTTTCAATGGCATCTTCAAATTGAAACTTACATTTTAACTGGTCAAGACAAAGGTAAGTTTACACTTTTTAAATGGGTATAGGATGCTCTCTTGTGTAAGACTCATAAACATTAAATTACATATAAGAGGTGATGAATAGTTTATGAGCAAGCTATTGGCCAGACATTATATACAGACTTTGATATGCCACAGAATATATTGTTGCACTTGTGAAATTCTCTTGTCTAACCTGAACTTAAATTCCATGGTGATAGCATGGCCTACGTATTATTATTGAAGTAAGGGAATACATTAAACAAAAGAAAAAAGCGTGAAACTGCTAGGACTTAAGCTGACATTCCGGTGTGGCACCCTAGCAGCAAGTTAACTCGCTGCCCACAACATCAGCCCCATACTTAATTTTTAATAAAATTACGAATGGTGTTTACTGCTTTGTTTCTTAATGTTCTTTTACCCAGTGCTCTGGATCAAAAGGCAACAGTAGATGCCTCCATCTGGGAACAAAGTCCCAAAGGCTGAAGGAGCTCAACGTGTGTGATCCCTTCCGTTTCTGTAGGTGAACTTCGAGGAGTTTAAGGCGGGCTTTGTGGCCGTGCTGGCGTCAGGGGCTGGTGCCGACCCTTCGGACGAAGAGGGCAGCTCTGTAGAATCAGGTGAGATGAGCTCGGGCTTTCCTTGGTGTGGACGTGCTGGCCTTTGGAGAACGGCCGCGCAGGTCAGAAAACTCAATTCTGGCTTCATCTCTGTCTCTGCCCAGCTGGGTTTCTTCTCCTGTCAGCTCCTTACTTGTAGTGAAATACAGTAACAGCAGGTGTTCCGCCTGCACTATAAGGTTATGAGCCCATGGTTGTGGGGGAGTGAGAATTAAGAGTACAGCACAGGTGGTTCTCTGAGTGTGGCACGCAGGCTGGCCCAGGCCAGCCCTGCAGTCTGGTTGGTCACAACGGTGATGTGCTGTGCCACTGTGAGTGATGGGAGTCCGTTGCAGAAATGGGGCTGGTGGCGTTCTCAGGGATCAGTCACTTGGCCTTGGTCCTGGGCTCAGGTGCAGGGACAATCAACCTAGGCAAACCGGACTGGCTTTGTCTCTCACACATCCTGTAAGATGCAGGCAGCCGCTTACCTTCCTGAACTGATGGGAGTTGGCACAAGACTGTGAGGCTGGAGGGAGTCCCCCTTGGGGCAGGTGGATCGAGTAAGAAGTGGAGGGTGATGGCGGAGCACTCCCAGGAGTGACTGTTCCCGGTGACTTGTGTGGTCACTTTACTGCGTCCCACAGTTAGCTAGTGCTATACAGGTCCTGGCCAGGAGGGGTTGCATGGCTGGGGTCGGAGAAGGAAACATCAAAGGACATTGCACCTGCTAGTCAGATGAAGAAATGGGCTGAGGTGGGAAGAGACTTGCCCACAGTTAGGAAGCAGTTGGTATTTTGCTCTCTTGTCTGTTGCTACAATAGAATACTTGAGATTGGTTTCACTTGTACAGAGAGGAGGTTTGTTCAGACTCAGGGTCCTGCCAGCTGCGAGTCCAGGACGATGGAGCAGCTGACACTGGTGAGTGCCTCGTGCTGCTTCAGATCCTGGCAGACAGCAGGCTTGTGGGTGGTGGTCATGCCCTGTGCCTGCTGCTCCTGGAACGCACGCACTTTGAGGCATGGATCCATACTGCATGGCAGTGCCCCCCAACCCCAACACCTCCCAGCAGCGCTGCAGCACACACAGTCCCAGTCAGAGCAGGAGCTGGGATTTCAATCCTGGTCTTCCACCTGTGGGATGCACTATGGTGGGACCCCTTCTACCGGTGAGCCATTGGATGCGCCATGGTGGAACCCCGTGAGCCCTTGGCTGCCCTGTGGTGGGCTCCCTCCTTCTGCTGGCTGCTTCTGGTGCCCTCCCATGCACCTCTTACACCCCTCACTGACTTCGTGGGTCCAGGGCACCTGGCACCGCCAGTCCCCTTCTGCAGCAGCCCAGAGGAATCCTGCGTGCCTTTGTCTCTCATGAATTCTTTAAGACATGTGTGGCATTACCTTCCTGAACTCACAGGTGTTGGCAGCACGACCATGGACACCAGATTGCCTTAGGAAGGAAGGTGGCAGTGCCAGAGAATCTGGGGCGTCCCACCTGCCACATGGTACCTCTGACTTTGAACTCATGTCCATTTTGCAGGATGCGTTCTTAGTTCTTCCAGCAAAATCAGCAGCCGAGTTAGAACTGTGCTCTTTTTCACCAGTTGCAGCTTTGTCTTTTTCTCGAGTTAGAATTGCTGAGTTTTCCTCACCTAGCCCCACCTGAGACCCCCTTGTGCTGGAGGGCTTGTTCCTGTCCCCTCCACACACCCACTCCACATTCAGAAGGGCTGACCCCACCATGCCCCACCGAGCGCAGAACAACCGCTGCCTGTGCTCCCTGAGCTTGCATTTGTTTCACGTGCCCCTGCCCCTCAGCTCAGTGCTTTTAATCTTGTGTCAGACCTGCCTGTCCCTGTCACCTGTGTGTGTCCCAACCCTATCCCTGTCCCTCACCCTGTGCATGCTGGGGGAGCACCCATGATGGACCACATGGCCTGTCCCTGACCATCAACCTGTGCATGCCTGGGGAGTGACCGTGATGGACCACATGGCCTGTCCCTCAACCTGTACATACATGGGGGAGTGCCTGTGATTGACCACATGGACTGTCCCTGTCCATGCCTGGGGGAATGTCCATGATGGACCAAATGGCCTGTCCTTCATTCCTGGGGAGTGCCTGTGAGGGACCACATGGCCTGTCCCTCACCCTGTGCATGCCTGGGGAGTGCTCATGATGGGCCACATGGCCTGTCCCTCATGCCTGGGGAGTGCCCGTGATGGATCACATGGCCTGTCCCTGTCCCTCACCCTGTGCATGCCTGGGGGAAGGTCCATGATGGATCACATGGCCTGTCCCTGTCGCTGTGCTTGCCTGGGGGAGTGGCCGTGATGGACCACAGGGCCTGTCCCTCATGCCTGGGGAGTGCCCGTGATGGACCACATGGCCTGTCCCTCAACCCATGCATGCCTGGGGAGTGCCTATGGAAGGAACACATGTCCCAGGTTTTGAAGAGCGACCCCACATCCCTGTCATTCTGTTCTTCCAGACCGATGTTGAAGGTGTAAGTCAGTGCATTTGAGATCAGGGCATGGTCACACCTTTTCTGTAATAATTTACACATTGAGGCCCCAGCAGATGTAGAAAGCTTCTGTTGGCGGTGAACTACCCCTCCCAATGGCTGCTGCACCTCCTGTGCCCTCTGCAGTGAGCTAAAGGGACTCCGGGCCAGGATTTGGGTGCTCCCCCCCTGAAGGGAGGCCTGACCACTTTGGGCATTACCCATTCCTCCACCACTGCTGTCGCTGTTCTGATGGGCTGTGTGTGTACTCTTCTCCCCAACCTTGTTTCCCTGATGGAGACAAGTGAAAACTTCTGGGTAAAGATGTCTTTACACACACACACACATACACACACACACACACAGGTGCCTGCCCTCCCCAACACACACATGCTCACAGGTGCCTGCCCTTCTCTCTCACTCACTCACAGGTACCTGCCTTTCCCTCACTTTCCCACTCACGCACACACTCACACACACACATCACAGATGCCTTCCCTCACTCTCTCTCTCTCTTTCACGCACACACACACAGTGTCACACACACCCTCTCTCTCACCTCCTGGCTTCAGATCGGCTCAGCTCTAGCCATTGCAGCCATTTGGGGAGTGAACCAACAGGTGGAAGATCTTTCTCTGTCTCTCCTTGTCTCTGTAAATCTGTCTTTTAAATTAAAATAAATAGACTTTTAAGCATGTTTATATAGACACTTCAACTTGAGAACGCCCTGCTGTCTCAGACGTCCAGCCTGGGCCAGAGTACAGCTGAGTTCACAGTTTCCTGTGGTTTTCCAGGCCATGGTGTCTCAGCATGCCGGAGTACAGAGTGACTCCCAAGGCTCCACCAGCAAATCTCTCGTTCTCCTTCCAGCTGTCCCTCCGAAGTACATGAACGGCTCTAAATGGTACGGCCGCCGGAGCCAGCCCGAGCTCTGGGACCCTGTGACAGACGCCAAATGTGTACCTGAACCGCAGGCCAAGGGCAACTTGAAGAGCCAGCTCCAGCGTTCTGCCTCTCTGGAAAGCGTGGAGGTGGGTCAACCATTGCTTCCTTCCCCAGCTCACCAGCATTGGGGGAATAAATGTTTTGTTTCATCATGATTCATGCCACTTTATCACCAAGGGTGTGTGTGTGTGTGTGCGCGCGCGCAGCAGTGATAGGCATTCCTGGGCACAGTAAGTCTCCGTAGCATGGGCTCCCATCACCCACTAACATCGCATCTCCACTTGTTTGAGGTCTCATCACGAACAGGATAATCCTACCATGGGGTGTCTTCAAGTCTCGAGAGTAGAGCACCTGCACCTCCGTTCTTGTCTTCTCTCCCTCCTGCCTCTCCTCCACCGCTTGCCCGTCTATGTGAGAGGCGATTTTCATGTGCCCAGGACAGAAACGGCAAGGTGCCTTTTAGCTACAGCCTTTCAGTTAAGTGTGCACAACCGTGGTCCCTGTTGCCTCAATTCTCAGCATATGCCAAGGCTCGCGTGTTATGACATACTAAATATGAGCCAGCCACCTCCTGGGACTCGGTGAGTTGTTGCATGCTCCCCAGCCCTCCTGAGCCATCCATGGCGGGTGGAAGCTGGGGGCAGAGCCCTACGGTGTGTGTGTAAGGAGGTACATCCATGGGGCAGGTCCATGGCTTGCAAGTTAGGCAACGACCTCAGAAGGCCCCTGGTTCCTGCTGTTACAAGGTGCAGCGGGCGCTGCATCCAAAACTAAGACAGCTCTGGGGCCTCACTGTTGATTAGCTGATACCTTGAACAGAGGAGGCAAACAGATGTGTTCTGCAAACAGATAGAAGGAAAATAAGCCTGGCTTGCAACCTGAGTGTCTGTTTTCTCCCAGGCCTCCCAGCAAGCTTAGGATACCCCCTTTTGATCCTCTGTTTAAATTAGGCTTCTTGTCCTGCATCTTGGTTGTTGCCATGCCTCCCCTCGAGTCCTTGACCCTGACACCTGCATGCACACAGGGCCGCCCTTGGTCTGTCAGTTGGGTTGATTCTCTTTGCCACTGGTTCACAGTCCTAGTCACCCAGGTGCTTCTTCCATGATCAGCACCTGGTTCTGATTGGCTACGCGGGCCGCTGAGATGGGAGGGCTTGGTTCCACCACACATTTCCTCGTAGCCCTGCCTATGCTCTCTCGGGTGCAAGCGGGCAGAGGCCACCTCGGAGTCAGGCATTTGCTGTCCCAGGGCACCCTGGAGGAGCAGAGCGCCGCTCCTGGCCTCTGTGTGGTTGCTGGACGTGTGGACACTGAGGAACAGTGCAGAGAGCAGTGCTGGTGCTGGGACTGGCTGGCATGCAGCTCCAGGGCCAGCCCCGTTCACTGTCCAAGCTGAGGTCATTCTTTGATGACACTGGTTTATGTTGAGCCCCGAGCATGGACCTAGACAAGTCTGTCCCTGTGTGCATCTGAGAGGGGCGCAGTGTGTGACAGGGCCTGCACCCCAGAGGTCTGGTGGGTGTCCTCAGATGCCTGGCCCTCAAGGAAACGCCCCATCCTGTTGGCTCCTGGTGCTCTGTCTGCCACGACATGTTACGCGCCTTCATGTCCTTCTCTTCACGTCCTCCCACAGAGCATCAAGTCAGATGAAGACACGGAGAGTGCTCAGGAGCCTCGGAATGAGCTGCTTGAAGCACGAGGTAACATGGTGGCCCCTCCTGCAGGAACTGGCTGGGTAGGGTGCACAGCCACTGCGTCTGGGAAACACATGCCGTGGCTGGTTTCCCAGGTGGGCCCCTTCTCTGGGGTGGACAGATGTGATCATCACAGCTGCGAGGTGTTCCCTCCGCCTTCAGCATCCTCTGTGGTCAGATCCCAGGCAGAGGCTGCTTCTGCCACTGCCTCCCTACCCCAGCTGCTGGGTGTGACTCTGGAGTCTCAGACCAGAAGGCTCTACTCAGCCTCATCACTTCTAGGGCTACCCTGTACCTCCTCCCTAAAGGGCCAGTCCTGGGCACAGCTTGGTTCTTGATATGACAGATCGCCTTGCCCACTAGGGTCTTTATCTGTGCTTCAGACAGGGGGTAGGAGGTGGGTGTGGCAGCTGCAGCACGTGGCCAGGTCCCTGCACAGTGTGGGGAAGTGGACTAAGCTGCCTGTGGGGCCATCTGCCAGACCCAGCCTTGGGACAGCAGCAGGTGCCTGTGTATCTGATGTAGCATCTGCCTGGGGAGCACACACATGACTTGCTTCTCTCATGGATAGAGACTTCTTTTAAAAAAAATGTATTTATCTTCACTTTATTTGAAAGGCAGGAGAGATGGAGATCTTCTGTCTGCTGATTGATTCCCCTAAATGCCCACCACAGCCAAGTCAGGAGCCAGCAGCCCAGGACCTAAGTGGAGTCTCCCATCTTGAGTGGGACTCAAGTGCTTGAGCTGTCACCTGCTTCTCTCAGAAGGCACATCCACAGGAAGCTGAACCAGAAGTGCTGGAGCTCCCATTTTGGCCTGGTCCAGCCCTGGCACCTATAGGCATTTGAAGAATAAGCTGGTGGATGGACACGCTTCTCTCTCTTTTATCTCTTTTCTCCTATCTATTTCCCTTCTTCCCTCCTAAATAAATGAAAATTTTAAACAAGAAAAGAAAATTTGCCAACATAGAGTGAAAGAAGTGTGCTGCGCAGAGCTGTGCGCCAGCACCACACAGTATAGACACAGTGTGACTCCCATCTGTCCGTCTGTTCAGCTCTCTGTCCAGCTGTCGGTGGACAGTGCTGATGTGGTTCCCACAATGATTAAACCTGGAACATGGGATCTGGCTGAGGAATGGTTGTAAGGCTAAGGTGTGCAGTGTGGTCGTTGGGTCTGATTGTTCAGGATGGTCGGCAGGTTAAGGAGTGCAGTGTGGTCGTTGCGTCTGACTGAGGAGTGGTCAGCAGGTTAAGGTGTGCATGTGGTCATTGGGTCTGACTGTTGAGGATGGTCGGCAGGTTAAGGTGTACAGTGTGGTTGTTGTGTCTGACTGTTGAGGATGGTCGGCAGGTTAAGGTGTGCCTGTGGTCGTTGCGTCTGACTGTTGAGGATGGTCGGCAGGTTAAGGTGTGCCGTGCAGCTGTTGGCATGCTCTGAGTTGTTCATCTCAATGCAGTAACGAGCACATCTGTCCCTTCACGTGTGTGACAAGAACACTTGAACGGGTCTCCGGTGCTCAGTGCCATGCAGCTGCTCCTCACCAGGGGTTGCCCTTCGCACTCCCTCCCCACCCTGCCACCTCTTGGCCACCACAATCCGTGACGATTCAGGTCTCTTCTGTGTGGCAGCACAGTGTGGACACACATTGAGCCCACCTTCCTGTGCACTCTGTCGTCTCTAGGTGAATTCTCATCTTTCATACATTTTTGCTCTGCAAATAATCTTCAGACTATGCTGTTTGGGGAATAATGACCAGAAAAATCTGGTGCCTGTTCTGTCCAGATGTGAGTTTTGTTTTGTTTTGTTTTAAATATTCTCTGTCTGAGGTGGGTTAAGCCCCAGGGTCAGTTTCTGCAGTCTCCGGCCATACCTCGGGCTCCAGGATTCGCTCCTCCGACAGCTGAGGGCTCGCCCCTTGTCTAGCATCTCGCTCTCCTGCACCCCCAGCCCTCTGCTCCCCTCTTTCTCATCTTCGTTACTACGAGTTGCACTGTTTTAGGTCCCACATCTAAATGCTCTCTTGCAGTTTTGTCTTTGTGTCTGGTCCCTTTCACCTAGAATAATGTCCTCCGTTAGGGCTGGTGTTGTGGCGCAGGCAGTCAAGCTTCTGCCCTCGGTGCTGTCAGCTCACGGACGCTGGTTTGACTTCTGGCTGTTCCACATCAGATCTGGCTTGCTGCAGGTGCGCCTGGAAAAGCAGCAGGATATATCCTCACTGCTCGGGCCCCTTGTGATTGACCTGGATGAAGTTCCTGTGAGCTGGCTTTAGCCTGGCCCAGCTCTGGGGATTGTGAACTAAGAGATGAAGAAGATATTCATTCTCTCTCTCCCTCCCCCCATCCCCTCCTTTTCTCTGCTCTCCTCCTCCTTTCCCTCCTCTCCCATCCCTTTCTCTCCTCTCCCCTCCCATCCCCATCTCTCCTCTCCTGTGTCCCCTCCTCACGCTCTCTGTCCTCTCTCTGCAACTCTGTCTTTCAAAAGCAAAGAGTGGGCCCAACGGTGTGGCCTAGCGGCTAAGTCCTCGCCTTGAACGCACCCGGGATCCCATACGGGCGCCGGTTCTAATCCCGGCAACTCCACTTCCCATCCAGCTCCCTGCTTGTGGCCTGGGAAAGCAGTCGAGGACAGCCCAAAGCTTTGTAACCCTGCACCCATATGGGAGACCTGGAAGAAGTTCCTGGATCTTGGCTTTGGATTGGCATAGCATCGGCCGTTGTGCTCACTTGGGGAGTGAATCATCAGACGGGAGATCTTCCTCTCTGTCTCTCCTCCTCTCTGTATATCTGCCTTTCCAATAAATAAATAAATCTTTAAAAAAAATAATGATAAAAGGCAGAGTGATGAGCCGCAGGTTCATCCTGTTGCTGCAGGATCACTTCATGTGAAGGCTGAAGACTACATTGTGTATGTATCAGGGTTTAACCATAAACTTCCCTCTTGCTTCAGGCCACCTGGAAGCCTGGGGTTCCGAGATTTTGGGGAGCTCTCAGAAATCCTGCAGCCCCTCCTTGGACAGCCCTGAAAGCCAGGTGCGAGCCATCTGGGACAAGCTGGGTGTGGGCAGCAGTGGCCACTTGAGCCGGCAGGAGCTGGCTGTGGTCTGCCAGAGCATTGGTCTCCGAACGCTGGACACAGAGGTAAGGGGCCGAGGGTGGCCAGCCCCCCTCTGAGTGGCCACTCCTACACAGCAATTCAACCCCGTTGCTCTGCTGTCTGTACCCGTGGGCGGGTTCCCAGGGCTTCTGCCATAGCTCCAGCCCCAGGCTGCTAGAGAGCAGGCATGCTCAGCCCAGTCCCTGCTCCGGGGGCACGTCTGACGCTTTCTGAAGCTTCTCTCCCCTGCTCTCCTGCATTCTACCAACCAGCCCGAAGCACAGCACCTCTGAGCCGGCCTGTGTGCCGCCATCCCTGCTGCTGTGATGTGGCAAGCCTTACTGCATCAACGCCCTTGTCCAACCTGCACCCACATCAGGCCCTATGCTGCCCGGGCACGCTTAGAGCATCCACTTCCTGAGGGTCTGAATGAGCATCTGTGGAATGAGGAAGTTCAGGGGACGCCCACTTGTAGAGAGAGGGGAGTCCTTAGGGAGACACATCTGGGTGGGGCCCAGACAGTGTGAGTTGGGACAAGAAACACACAGTGCCCTCACAGGCACCAGGAGGTGAACCAGAGCTGAGGAGTTGTGGCTTTCATTCAGGAGCTGGAAGACTTGTTTAACAAACTGGATCGAGACGGAGATGGCCGCGTGAGCCTGGAGGAGTTCCAGCTTGGCTTGTTCAGTCATGTTCCCCCATCACTGACAGAAACTTGCAATGTGGTCGAAGCAAGCAGGCCCTGGTGCCATTGCCAGGTAAGATGGACAGCCTTCAGCTCCTACAGTGACTGTGGATACCCAGCCCCTGCCTGTGTGGCCAGTTAGTGAGCTGGGCAGGGCTGGGCAGAACAGGGCATCTGCAGGAGGTGGCAGGATTCAGACTCTAGGACCACGCAGATCCAGATTTGCTCTGGTGCTATGCATCCCTGTGCGAGTTACCTATGGAGTGGGGATGCTCGGACGCTCGTCTGAGGGGGAATTGGAGGCTATGCGAAGAGTGCAACATGTGGTGGTCCCCAGTATGTCTTCTCAGTGTGGGGTGGAATGAGTTCCAGTGGGAAATCCCTCTCGCCCCACCCCGCTTTGCAGCGAAGGCCATGGTAGTGCGTCTGGATTGGCCCTCCAGCAGTTCCTCAACCCATGCCTTCCCACCTAGCACTCCTGACACTGCATCTCTGAACTGCTGCCTATGGAGCGACTGCAGCTGGCTGTGGGAGCTAGGATTCTGTTCCGCGACTGTTGGGCCAGACTTTGGGTTCTCAATGTGTCTGCCTCACCGCATGATTGTCCTGGGCACCCCTAGAGGAGGTGCTGCTCACCTAGCTGCTTCTGCGTCTGCTGGGGCTGCTCACCTGGCTGCTTCCGTGTCTGCTGGGGCTGCTCACCTGGCTGCTTCCGTGTCTGATGGGTGCTGCTCACCTGGCTGCTTCCATGCCTGATGGGTGCTGCTCACCTGGCTGCTTCCGTGTCTGCTGGGGCTGGTCACCTGGCTGCTTCCGTGTCTGCTGGGTGCTGCTCACCTGGCTGCTTCCATGTCTGGTGGGCACTGCAAGACCAGTATTGACAGATGCACCTGAGAATGCAAATTTGACACCCTGAAGTCTGTAGGGACAGAAAAAGGATAAACTCAGGACCCAGAGCTGAGGGGCTGTGTCAGCTCCGGGAGACCCAGGGGAGGCTCACCGAGGGGTGCTTAGCATTGGCCTGGAGCAGTGCCTTCCCGGTTCTTGTGCATCAGCACTGCTGTTGTCCACCTTGAACCTAGGTCCTCAGGTGGCTACACTCCCACCCCTGGGTCCTAAATGCATGTGAGGACTACTGTGGGCCCCACAGGCTCCCAGCAGGCACTTCTCACCTGCTGTAGAAAGCTGCTGTCGCGAATGTGTGGGAAGCTGCAGGCCCTCCTGGGGTGACATGACCTCTCACTCTTCCTGTCACCGGAACGCTGTTCCTGTTCAGTTGGGTGCTGCACACTCTGAGCCATCTAACCTTACACCCAGTACTCTGCACACACACAGTCACGAGTCATGCAGTCTCCTCTGCATGCCGGGAATTTACCCCCTCCATGCACGTATACTCACACAGATGTACGTTTATGTGCAAACCGTGTGTACACGTATTGTATACATTTATGTGCAAACTGTGTGTACACGTATACCTGCTGTGCTGTGGACGCTGAGTACTCACCACCCACTGAGTGCTCACCTGCTGTGTGTGCTCCACCCACTGTGAGTGCTCACCTGCTGTGTGTGCTCCACCCACTGAGTGCTCACCTACTGTGTGTGCTCCACCCACTGAGTGCTCACCTGCTGTGTGTGCTCCACCCACTGTGAGTGCTCACCTGCTGTGTGTGCTCCACCCACTGTGAGTGCTCACCTACTGTGTGTGCTCCACCCACTGTGAGTGCTCACCTGCTGTGTGTGCTCCACCCACTGTGAGTGCTCACCTGCTGTGTGTGCTCCACCCACTGTGAGTGCTCACCTACTGTGTGTGCTCCACCCACTGTGAGTGCTCACCTACTGTGTGTGCTCCACCCACTGTGAGTGCTCACCTGCTATGTGCTCCACCCACTGAGTGCTCACCTACTGTGTGTGCTCCACCCACTGAGTGCTCACCTGCTGTGTGTGCTCCACCCACTGTGAGTGCTCACCTGCTGTGTGTGCTCCACCCACTGTGAGTGCTCACCTGCTGTGTGTGCTCCACCCACTGTGAGTGCTCACCTGCTGTGTGTGCTCCACCCACTGTGAGTGCTCACCTGCTGTGTGCGCCCCACCCACTGAGTGCTCACCTGCTGTGTGTGCTCCACCCACTGTGAGTGCTCACCTGCTGTGTGTGCTCCACCCACTGTGAGTGCTCACCTGCTGTGTGTGCTCCACCCACTGTGAGTGCTCACCTGCTGTGTGTGCTCCACCCACTGTGAGTGCTCACCTGCTGTGTGCTCCACCCACTGTGAGTGCTCACCTGCTGTGTGCTCCACCCACTGTGAGTGCTCACCTGTGTGTGCTCCACCCACTGTGAGTGCTTACCTGCTGTGTGTGCTCCACCCACTGTGAGTGCTCACCTGCTGTGTGTGCTCCACCCACTGTGAGTGCTCACCTCTGTACAGATGCAAATGCACATGTGTTCCCTGCATCAATGCATCTTATACACACACATGTCTGCTGTACATTCCTTGTAAACACCACATGCACGCACACTTTTGCACCCTACACATGCTCCTGTGTCCTCTCTGTGTATGCCTGCTTATGCTCAGACTGCACTTACACACCCCCTCTGTGCACACTACGTGTGTTTGACTTTCATTGCACATATACCTGTGTACACACTGTACCCCCATCTTCACCTGCTGTGTACACCTGCTGTGCTGTGGACAGCAGTGTATGCTCACCGTGTGTAAGCTGTGAGTATGCACACCCACTTCCAGTGTGCACACTCACCATGTGAACCTGTGCCTTGTGTAACACACCTCGTCACTGATGGACACGCATTGTGTTACTCCATGACCCACCCAGCCAGGCCTGGCAGAGACGGGTTCTGACTTCAGTCTGCCGAGCCCTGAGTGCCTGCCTTCCTAATATATGGCATCTGCAGGGAATGCCAGGGTGGCTAAGAGCCCAGCCTGACTGTGTTGCGGGGCTGTGTCTGTGTGTGGGGGCCTGCGTGGTTGTGCTGGACCCCACAGGGGAGAACCCTGGACAGAGATTACCGCCACTCTTCTGCTCATGCAGGGTTCAGGTTACAGTCTCCACTTTCAAGGTCATGACATGGGGGAACACAGGTGCCTTGGGTCTGGGAATCTGAGCTTCTCACTGGCAGCCTTGGCCGTTTCTGGGTATTCTGGAGCTGTTCTTTCTCCTTGGAAGACAAGGTGTGCTGCCCACTTGGTAGGGGGATTGTAGAGCACCACGCGGCTCAGTGAAGCGAGTCTCTGTACCCGTCTGTGGGGAGGCAAAGGCACAGCTGAGTGGCTGACCTCAGTGGTTGCCCCGTGCAACTTGACCTACTCAAGACGCAGATGACCCATAGGGCCTGTTTGTGAGAAGGCTCAGACCCCGTGGGAGGGACAGACCATGTGAGTGCCTGGAGCCAGGTGCCATGCTGGATAGCAGGGAGGAGTTCCTACCCATGGCATGCAGGAAGTGGCCACCATCCTCTGTGCCCTGGCTCATAGGCTCGTTGCGAACCCAGCTTGGGGCAGAACACCTTGGGGAAAGTGTGTTGCCCTTTGCAGCCCAATGGCATTTGAACCTCAGGTGGCAGCTTTCTGGCCAGAGATGCATTTGCCTTCCTCGTGGTGCTTCCCCAGGACTGCCCGGCAGTGGGGCGCATGCCCTGTGTTCTGGCATAGGCATGCACTTTCCTGTTAAACCAAGCTCACCCTGTTACAAATTCAGAGAGAAACCTTCAGACCCCTTTGTCATCATCCTAAGTCATGTTGTGCTGACCATGACTAGCAGTCCGGCCACACACTAGCGAGGCCTCAGGCAGACGGCCCAGCAGCAGGTGTGCAGGTGCCCTTACAGGGAGCCCCAGATGCAAATGATGAGATGGCCCTTGTCTCCATTCCCTCAGCTAGGAAAAGGAGCTGCTGCCGGTCTCCTGGGTCGTTCTTGTTGCGCCTGCGCAAGGACGAGGAGGGTGGCCCGTGGGTTAGCATGTAGGTGGGAGGCCGGGAGACCCGTGTAGGTGGGAGGCCGGGAGACCCGTGCCCTGTGCGCTCAGCGTGTTGTTTCTCTGCACAGGCCCCTGAGGAGAGCAGCTGCCACACCCCTACAGCCTCATCTCTTGTGTCTGTGGCCTCCGGCCTGCTCCTCTTCTCCAGCATTGATGACGGAACCGGCTCAGCCTTCCCAGAGCAGATCATCGCCACGCTGGCCCAGGAGGGGATTCACAATGGCAGGGAGATCTTGCAGGTTGGAAGCCAGAGGGTGGCACCCAGATGCGTGGAGCTCAGCAGGGGGCCTGGGGTCAAGATCCCCTCGTAGGCAGGATGGAGCACCCCTGTTGGGCTAGCCATGTGTTCCATGCAAAGAATCTCATGGGGGAGGTAACTTTAAAAGTAGTGTAATTTAGATGATAGAACATAGAAGAAGCAAGCCTGGGAAGGGCCCGCTTGCAGGCAGGTTCACGCCTGTGTCCCCAGTGCAGGGTGAGGGAGTGAGGCTGCAGGTCAGGGGGGACCTTCCACTGTGACCATGAGGCAGTTCTGGGTTCCCCGCCTCCCTGACTCCAGCCCTGTCACTGGTTGTGCTGCTGCCCCGCTGCTCTTCAGGGCCTGCCAGGAGACTTTTCTCAGGTGATTCTCAAGGACAGGATCTTGGTCTGGCCCTGCACACCGCTCAGAGTGTCCCTATTCAGAGTAGTAGGCCCTGCTGTCAGCCAAGAGTGTGGGCCATCTCAGAGGTCAGGGTGGCTAGTGGTGACTCTATGTCTGTGTCCCCTCTCCATCTGACCCAGGGATTCCACCAAGAAGGCTGTACTTGGGAGGTGACAAGAGCAGGCCTCCCAACCTCCCCATCAGCCACTGCTTCTCAGGAGCAGCTCAGGGGGCAGCAGGGCAAGTTCAGGTCCCTGTTTCATGATGTAAGCAGGGTGCCCATCCCTCACTGGCTCTGAGGACCATGGATGGTGCCTAGTGCCTACTCGGGTGCAGCCATGTGTGATGTCCAGAAGTCAGAGGGAGAGGAGGTGAGAGCCAGCAGGGCAGCTCACACGAGGGCTGGGATGAGGGGTGAGCCAGGCCAGGCCACAGAACCTGTTGGTGCAAGTGATAGCTGGATCTGGTGGTGGACTAAGCCAAATGAGACCACAACACCCACCAGCACGTGTAAGAACCAAGTCTAGGGGCAGACTGGACCAGGTCAGACTACTGCACATTCTGTACAGGTGAAAGCCAGATTTGGAGACAGGCCATGTTTGTGTCCTGGCCATGTCAGGACACAGCACCTGCCAGTACAAGTGAAGATTGAATCTGGGAGCGGAACAGGCCAGGCAGCAGCACCTACCAGTACATGAGGGAGCCAGGCCTGGGGACAGGCCAGGTAAGGATTCTTAGGGTTCTCCCCGACCAGACCACCAAACCTGCTAGTGTGCATGAGAGCTGAATCTGAGAGTAGGCCAGGATGGATTAGGCCACAGCACCCAGCACATGTGCAAAAGCCAGGTCTAGGGCCAGGTCAGACCACTACACCATCAGTACAAGTGAAAGCTGGGTCTGGGTGCGGGCCATGTCAGGCCTTAGCACTTGCCAGTACAAGTAAGAGTCAGGTCTGGGCAAAGGCTGGGCTAAACCATAGCATCCACCGGAGTGTGCGAGAGTTGGGTCAGAGGATGGGCCTGGTAGAGGTCTAAGTGGTCTCCCTGACCAGGCTGCAGCAGTGACCAGTACAAGCAAGTACTGCAGCTGGAGGCAGGCCAGGCCAGGCCACTGCACCCGGTGGTGTGTATGAAAGCTGGGTCTGGGGACTGGACTGGTGGTTGACTTAGGGATCTCCTTCCCTAGGCCACTTACATGCTTCAAAGCACAGGAACTGGGGTTGGGGGCAGGCCAAGACAGGCAACTCCCCCTGCTGGGACGTGCATGGACACGGGGTAGACAGGGCTGGCACTGCACCTGCTGGCACACACTAGAGGATCCAGGGCTGAGGACTGGTCTAACAGGAACTCTTGGGGGATCTTCCCTGCTGGGCCGCCCCACTCAATCCCCAACTTCAGGAAACATCATGTGGTCATGTGGTTCAGCCTCGGAGCACACGTTGCAGCTGCCATGCAGAGATGAACAGCATACCCAGATGCACACGAAGGACAAGGCAGCCAGCTGCTGTAATCCAACAGAAGACCTCAAGTGCCCCAACAAAAGGAGGAAAGGGGAGTAGAGTAGATTGAGCAACACTACAGGCCAAGTTCTCCTGTGAGTGCCTAAGCCTGTGGACATAGTGAGATAGACATGGGCAGCCAACAGGCATCACGAGTAATTTCTCACCGCTCACATAAGGAAGCCAACAACATCTCAGAGCAGTCGGGACCAGTCAAGTAACAGTCAAGACATTCTTGCCCCAACTGAGTCCTTGGGACAATATCGGAGGAGCATTTTTGTCCCCTGGCACTGATGTGGTCTGACAGCAAAGAGCAGTCCGTCTTCCCTGCCCTGCCCCCTTTGTGGTCACAGGAGGGAGGGCAAAGCCTTTGCTTTTCCTCTCATCCACCCTCTTCACACTGCTTCCCTTTCCATCCTAATTGGTGACCCATTTGGGTCTGCAATCCCCTTAACATTTAAACATTAAATCAATCAATCAATCATCAATGATAAATCAAAAAGGGAAGAGGAGAACCAGCAGGCAATGCTGAGGAAGCAGCCACAGCGACACTGGCTGCAGGTCAGCTGGCCTGGGGTCCCCGAGGAGTGTTCGCGCTTCTGTCCTGGGCATGTGGGAGGGTGGGGGAGCAAGAAAGCACACAGCACCAGCTCTTCTGCTCTTATCTTTGAACTTACTTTTATTTTCCAAAATCCTGAGGGTGTAAGGCTGTGCTCGGCTCCAGGCTTGGGTTGTGGCCCCCTCCTGATATTTTTCAACCAGCACATTCTGTGTCTCATAGGCCCAGAGATCTGGATTCTCTGCCTTCGAAATGGCAAAAGCCCAACTCCAAATGGCTGGAAAGGAGAGGATTCAGGGGTGGTCGTGGGCACTTGGGGAGTGGCTGCAGCCAGGCCTGGCAGGAACTGAGTCAGAACTCCGCAGCCCTCCTCAACCCTTTCCCTAGCGGCTGTGACCATGGACCAGCCTAGCAAGGGGCTTGCCGAGGCTTCTAGCGCACTTACGGTAGCCAGGGTTACAGGGAGAAGGCTCACCTCCCCCAGGTGCCTGTGTCAGAGCCCCGGGGTGCTCTGCCTTGTGTCAGACACCACGTTCAGATAGGAAAGCTATGTCCACCATGAGGCTATGAGAGGAGACTGTGCTTTGGGGGTCAAAGAGGGGCTGCTCCCAAGAAGCAAAGGGCAAGTGCCGCCTGTGCCAGGCAGTGTGGGGTGGGCCCTCGGCCCTTCCGTGGGAGAATAGGAAGCAGCCACTCGTGTTTTTTATGCCCCTTCCAGAGCCTGGACTTCCGTGTGGATGAGAAGGTGAACCTTCTGGAGCTGAGTTGGGCCCTCGACAACGAGCTGCTGACCATTGATGGGGATGCCCAGCAGGCAGCCCTGGCCTGCTACCGGCAGGAGTTAAGCTACCTCCAGTAAGAACCCACGAGGGACAGGGGCGGGTGGGGCCGGAGCAGTCATCCAGGTGGGGCTCAGGGGCAGTCTGGGACACACAGGTTCTGGGCTGTTCTGTGCCCTTCCCTCTTCTAGCCCAGTAACCGATCCTGTACCCTCTGCCTCCTTTAGTTGGTACTCAGGTGGGTCAGTAAACAGTTGATACATACAGAGCAGGAAGGAAGGAGGGATGTTGTCCCTCAGGACTGGGCCTATGGACCCCATCAACCCGGTGGTGGTGCTGCTCAGATGTTTGTGTCCACAGAAGGTAAGGATCACCGACCATTCATGGTACTTGGTCAGAATCTTGGAAATCAGTGCATCAAGGTCTTATTCCTTCAGCTAGTTCCAATGAGAAGGGCTTTAACTTGACCCTCATCCCATACTGGTAGATGTCAAGTGTCCATTTGTCCGTGAACCTGCTTCCAGAAGTAGCTGCATACTTGGCCCAGCCAACGAGAGAGGGAACAGAAGCACTTTTCTGGTGTGACCCCCCCAAAGCTCAGAGGGATAATAAGGCCAAGGATTCATCCCATGTTAGTGGGACTTGGCTTGGCTTTTAGCTGGCAACACAGGCCATCCATATGCTAAGCAGATTGGCACATGATGGTTTTGTGTTTTGTAGAAAATATTAGTAGAAATCACATTCTCAACCCTAAGGATTTTAAGTCTGGTCGGATATAGACACATGAGCTCTCTGACCTCTGGGCGGTCCTACACACAGAGCCAGGGAGGAGCCTGCCCTGCCTCTGTCCTGCCCATGTCCCTGCTGAGGCCGCAGAGCCATAGCAGGACCTGCCCTGCCCATGTCCCTCTCAAGGCTGCAGAGCCAGGAAAGAACCTGCGCTTGCTCAGCTACCAGGTTGCCAGAATGATGAGTGGTCAGCCTTCTTGCATCCTTCATGTGGTCATTCCTGGATCAGATGCTGGAGACAGCAGGGCACAGATAAAGCCTGGGGCCCCAATTGTGGTGTGGAACACTGTGGTGCCCGAGGCTCTTGGGTTCAGAAACCTTCTGAAAATTGGCCTCTCTCCCAGTATGCACATCTGTAAAGCGAGTGTAGGAATTTAGGGCCTGATGTTAGTATGGTGGTGGCTTCTGATTAACGTAGTCACTTCTGTCTGCCTGAGGACGTGGGGCTTGCATAGCAGGCTCATGGCGGTGTCCCACTCTCATTCTGTTTTTGCGGTGGGCAGAGGACAAATGGAGCAGCTGGTGCAGGAGCGAGACAAGGCAAGGCAGGACCTGGACAGAGCCGAGAAGAGGAACCTGGAGTTTGTGAAAGAGATGGACGACTGCCACTCCACACTGGAGCAGCTCACGGAGAAGAAAATCAAGTAAGGTTGGAGGGACCCAGCAGCAAGCAGCTCAGTGGCTGCCTGAGCAGTGGCTCCTCACTCGGAAGCTGCTGCAGGCCCAGCTGGGGTGGGGGCCAGGGCATGCGCAGGCAGAAGTGAGGTTCCCATTCCACCTGCTCTGGGGGTAGGGGAAGATCTGGAAGGGGCGCATTTAACAGGCAGCCTGACACTCTGGAGTTGGAGCGTTGTGCCTGCAGCAGCTGTATATGGCCGTGGGACACAGGGGATACCATTTCCTGCTGTTAGGGTTTGTCCTACATGGGCCACGTGTGCTAGGGAGCTGGAGGAGGTGCTTGCAGCCCGAGGCCGTCCTGCATGGGACAGATCCCATTGTTCAGGTATGCACGTGTGTTAGGGAGCTGGAGGAGCAGCATGAATGCCAGAGACCGGCCACCACACTGTCTGGCACCTGCCCCCTGAAGTTTGGGCAGTCTGTTATGCTAGTGGCCAAGAAAGCCAGAGAAGAGGCTTCTGGCAACTTTGTTCTGGGCTCACAATCACCTCTGTGCTTTATTAACCAGAGGAAATACTGGAAGCAGATTTACAAAGAGCAAGGGAGCATCAGAGAGCAATCTTCCATCCACTGGCTCACTCCCCAAATAGCCACCTTGGCTACACGTGGACCAGGCTCAAGCCTGGAGCCAGAAACTCCATCCAGGTCTTCCACTGGATGGCAAGGGCCCAGGCGCTTAGAGCATCTTCCACTATTTTTCCAGGCATGTTAGCACAAGGCTAGATCAGAAGGGGAACATCCAGGATGCATGCAAGCCTCCAGTGGAGTGCCAGCAATGGCTTAACCTACTGCAGCACAATGCCAGCCCAAGCTGCTTGCCCTCTCGAAACTTCTGCTCCTCCAGGTGTTCTGTGGAAGCAGTAGTTATGTATGCCCACTTAGACGCACAGGCAGCTTGTGTGGGCATCACTGCAGACATATAGCATGCGGGCACCCACACAGAATGACTGTCACTGTCAGCAAAACAAAGTTCCCCACCAGGCTGCAGGTGCGCAGGTTAAGACATTTTGTTGGCGTTCACGCTCCAGGTTGTTGTGTGTGTGTGAGCTCATGGGGAAGAGATGAGCATGCCGGACGAGCCCTCTGGTGGATGTAGGCGGTAGGCCAGGATCTTGCAGCATCTACAGTGCTGTCCCTGGCTAAACCAGGGGCTTATCCAGAGGACTCATCTTCCTCCACAGGCATCCTGAGCCTTCACCAGGCCCCTGAGTGCCACTGCTGGAAGGGCCATTGCTGAGTCCCAGGGGCACCACTGTTATTTTGGGATTCTGTGTGTACTGATGCCGTCATCTCACTGTGATTCAAGTCAGCCGTTTCACTCCCATTTCTCAGTAGAAGAAACAGGTTCAAAGCAATTGACTAAGAAGCAGCCACACCCACATGGAGAAAGGTGTGTGACACTGGGGCCAGCTCAGTGAGAGAGAGGTGACTGCAGCCACACAGAGACAGGGTGTGTGACACTGGGGCCAGCTCAGTGAGAGGAGACTGCAGCCACACGGAGACAGAATCCTGACTCAGTAAGAGGTGACCACAGCCACGTGGCGACAGGGTTGTCACATAAGCCTCACATCAGTCTCTTGGTCTGTTCTATTCCTAATGCTGCTTATTTGGGGCTGTAGAAAATGAGGCCTTTGGTAAAAGGACCTGGTTACTTTGCTGCAGCAGGTAAAAAGGCTAACCCAGCGTTAAGTCCTCTGCCAGCTCCAGGGCCCAGCAACCCCTTCTCATGGCCCACACACTCGTTTTCCATAGATCTGCACTGAGCTTGAGGCCTGCTGCCTTACCTTAGGTGTTGCCATGGAAGGTATGCCCTGAGCCAACTGGGGCCTCCATCTCTGTTTCCATCTCTTGGGCCTCCTTTGCTCTGGGTATCTGGGAAAGTCCACCCACAGCAGGTTGAGATCTACCAGCACCTGTGCTGTGGAGTGTGTGTCTCTGTGTGTGTGTGTGTGCGCGCGCACACGAGCCTTTGGGAGTGCAACGTGGTGCTGTGTGGATGTGTGAGAATCTGAGTGTGCGTGCACAGGTATGTGTGACAATGTGGGTCTGAGCGACTGTAGGTGATGGCAGGGTGGGGGGCTGAGGGTGAGCATGAATGTGGGTGTATGAGACTGAGTGTGGATAAGCGTGAATAAACATGAGCATGAACGTAGCTGCGTGCGGGTCAGTGGGAGAGGTGTGAGTTTGTGAATGTGATTGGTTGAGTGCTGGTGTGTGTGGACGGGTGAGTGTGAGGCTGAAGGATGTGTATTTGGGTGATTAAATGGTTGTGAGTGCAGGTCAGTGGGAGGGGTGTGGGTTTGAACATGAGGTGGTCGAGCAAGAGAGTGAGTGGACGCGGGCAAATGAATGTGTATGCGGGTATGGTGTGAGGGTGTGCACTGAGTATTGGTGTGAGCATGGGTGACTGTGAGGGTGGGTGGGTGTAGCTGCAGGAGCACGCATGCGTGAGTGTGGGAGTGTATGAGTGTGGGAGTGTTTGAGTGTGAGGGAAGGAGAATGAAGCTGAGTATAGGTGTGATTAAGCATGGATGTGAGCGTGAGCACAGGTGAGCGTTTGTGAGTCAGCACTGAGTGTGTGCAAGTGCAAATGGGTGAGTGTGAGATGCGCTGTGATGTGTTCCAGGCACCTGGAGCAGGGGTACCTGGAGAGGCTGAACCTCCTGCGGTCAGAGGTGGAGATGGAGCGTGAACTGCTCTGGGAACAGGCCCACAAGCAGAAGGCCACGCTGGAGCAAGACGTGGCCCGCCTGCTGGCGGAAGAGGCCCGCCTGCGCCAGAAGCTGAACCTGGCCCTGAAGGTAGGCAGGGAAGGCCGGGCAGCCTTCCTCCCACGCCCACGTGTTCAGTCTTCTAGGAGGCCCTCGGCACCTGCCGCTCCTAAGCTGTGAAGCACCCGTGTTGGCTGTAGCAGGGAGCCGTCATCCCCGTGGCCAAGACTGAAGCCCCTGGCTTTGGAAGGAGCTGTGAGGCTATGTCCTCTACTTCTTACTCCCACCTCCTTGTTCTCTCAGACTTATTTATTTGAGAGAGACAGAGAGAGGGGGACTCTTCCCTCCCATGGGCCACTGCCCGTATGTCATAGGTACGACAGCTGGGGTGGGCCAGGCTGAGGCCAGGAACTCCATCTCCGTCTCCCGTGCGGGTGGCAGGGGCCTAGCACTAGGGCCATCCTCTGTTCCCTCCCAGGTGTGTTAGCAGGAGGCTGCCGCGGAAGCAGAGACAGGGCTGGGTCCCAGGGACTCTGAGAAGTGACCATTTAATGTGCTGTGTCTCAACGCTGCCCCCTTGCATCCACACTCTACTCCGGGTTAGGGGGCCTGAGGACTACAGCCAGCAGGACTGTACCTCCAGAGACCAGGAACACCTGGGGGTTGGCTCACTGGTGCCCAGGTGGGGTCTGTGAGTGTCCCCTGCCCTGCACCCAGCCTGCCCTTGACTCCCTTAGATTGTCTGGGCTGCAGGGATAGTTGGGTGTGAGCATGGCGCAGGTGCACCCGTCTGTGTTCCCCACTGTTGCTCTGTCTGCCATCCTCACCCTTTGTTGATCTGGAGCCCTATGCACACGCTCCCTGCCTCCAGGGAGAAGGCCTGGTGTGCCTGGGGCTGCCTCACCCACTGCATTGTCAATGCAGCCGTGAGACCCTGCTTGGCACAGGGCCCAGGTCCACATGAGTCTCCTTCCTCTCCCAGGGGCCCCTGAACACCCCTGAGCTGCAGGGGTGCAGCTCAGTGCAGTCTCATGGCTTCGGAACCCTGGGAGACACAGGCTACAGGGGGTCAACAACCATGGGAGGTGTGACAGGGTGGGGCCCCAGGCTGTCCCCTGGCACATCCACGCCACAGGCCCAGCAGCCTGCCTTCAGGGCTCTCCTCCCCGAGTGCATATAAACTGGCTGCTGTAAGGGTACATGACAGTAGGTGACACCAGGACCTGTCACTCTGCTCCTCACCCCAATCTGTAACACTCCTGCAGGAGAACAGCCGATTGCAGAAAGAGATTGTGGAAGTGGTGGTGAAGCTTTCGGATTCCGAGAAGGAGGCCCTGAAGCTGCAAAGTGACCTGGAGCTGGTGCTGAGGGAAAAGGCAGGTCCTGTCACGGGTCCACGGTCTCCAGGGAGAGGCCCTCTGCGTGGCTAATGTGGGGGCGGGGGACAGCTGACCTAGCGACGTGGCCTTGGGTGTGCTCCACTGCACAGCCATGTCAATGCCACCACCAGTTCACACCTAGAAGTTCCAGCAGACCATGCTGGAGAAGGAGGGGAAGGGACTGTGCGGGGGAGGAGGGACCAAGTGGTTGGACGCAGCTAGAGACCTGCCGTGTCCTCAGGGTCTGGGACCAGAGGAGCTGTTCTACCAGGCTCATGGCCTGTCCCCTGTCTCCCAGCTGGAGCCACAGAGCATGGAGCTGCTGGTCCAGGAGGAGCGCTTCGCAGCCGTCCTAAAGGAGTGTGAGCTCAAATGTCGGGTAAGTTACCAGTGCGGCGCCACAGAATAAACCCATGTCCCCCAGCATCTCCAGACTGGGGCCCTTGCTCTGTCATTGGTGCCTAGCCCCCCGCACACACCTCCGTCCTGCAGCAGGGGTGGAATAGATCCACCGAGATGGGGCAGGCCCTTTGTGTTGTCGGGGTCTGGCCTGTGTGCTCACAGGCAGGCTTTGTTCCTCTTGCCTCCTGGGTGGGCTAAGCATTCAGGTGGTCCACTAAGGATGGTCGGAGGCCATCCTAGGCAGAGCTGTGGCTGTGCTGGGTTCTGCAGAGGCATTGTTGAGATTTTTTTTTTAAAGATTTATTTTATTTTCATTACAAAGTCAGATATACAGAGAGGAGGAGAGACAGAGAGGAAGATCTTCCATCTGATGATTCACTCCCCAAGTGAGCACAACAGCCAGTGCTGCGCCGATCCGAAGCTGGGAACTAGGAACCTGTTTTTAGATTTCCCACATGGGTACAAGGTTCCAAAGCATTGGGCCATCCTCAACTGCTTTCCCAGGCCACAAGCAGGGAGCTGCATGGGAAGTGGAGCAGCTTGGATTAGAACCGGCGCCCATATGGGATCCCAGCGTGTTCAAGGCGAAGACTTTTAGCCGCTAGGCCACGCTGCCAGGCCCCGCTGAGATTTCAGTGTGGAAAAATGAAGAAGGCAGTGTGGAGCCAGGCTGGCTGCTCGAGGCACCACTAAGTTCCTACACTCCTCACTTGTCCCTGGGTCTGTATGAGACAGCTTCTGGTTAGGACTTAACTTGTGAAAGGCATGGATAACCTTGCTACCCATCATGGTCCTCCACCCTTTGCCCACCTGCCCCTCCCTTCCTTGGCATGAGGGCTACAGCAGCAACACTGGATACAGCCGTGTCTGACATCGGAATGGTGAAGCATTTCGAGACCATTTTCATTGGAGCCGTGGGACACACACACACTAGTGATGTGTAAAACATTGCCAGGCTTAATATTCTTTTTTTTTAAAGATTTATTTTTATTATTTTTTTATTGGAAAGGCAGATATACAGAGAGGAGAGACAGAGAGGAAGATCTTCTGTCTGATGATTCACTCCCCAAGTGAGCGCAACGGCCGATGCTATGCTGATCCGAAGCCAGGAGCCTCTTCTGGGTCTCCCACGCGGGTGCAGGGTCCCAAAGCTTTGGGCCGTCCTCGACTGCTTTCCCAGGCCACAGGCAGGGAGCTGGAAGGGAAGCGGGGCTGCCAGGATTAGAACTGGCGCCCATATGGGATCCCGGGCGTGCAAGGTGAGGACCTTAACCACTGCGCCACCGCGCCGGGCCCAGGCTTAATATTCTTGGCAAGATTTGGCCAATAAGACCATCCCTGGCTGGCTGCCTGTCCTGGTGACACGCCACCATCACTTTCTGTTTTTACTTTGGTTGAATGGTTTCATATTCTCTGGCCCAGCAAGGTGCCCCAGGCTCACCTTACGCTTGGCTCCCAGTTGTCCTGGCACCTGCCATTTCTGCCACGTGTGTTGGTTCCCTGTCCCAAGCGGGAGGAAATGGGTGCTCTGCCTGCTTACTGCTCCCAGGGGACAGTTAGGGGCCTGGTCACTGCTCTCCCACCTGAAGGCTTGGCTCCTGAGCACAGAGGCGATAAGCCCAACCCTCCCCGCCGGGCATACCATGTGTCTCCAAGTGGTCTCTCAGGGCTCCGTTATGCTGAGTACCTTCCAGCTGTGCTATCATTTCAGCTTTGGCATCTCCTCTCAGCGGTCAGGCTCCGATTTCTTGGGGCATAGATCCACCTTAGGGGTCAGTCCTCCATGTCCTTGATGGGAAGCCCTATGTTGCGTGTTCCCCCTGCCCTTCCACGCCAACCCAAAGAGGGGCAGGCTACTGCCCATCTTCCGGGCAGTTCCTTAGCCCCTTCTTGCTGAGTTTTATCAGCCTGGCATTTCCCCAAGCAAGCCTGCCCGTCCAGCCTTCCTGCTGTCAGAATGCCTTCCTGGGCTACTGCTGAAATCCCCCTTCCAGCCCGGCTTCCGGAGCATGCTTCCCCCTGCGCCAGAAGGCACAAGAGCCATGCTGGGTTCCGAAGCCTCAGCCCTTCTTCCGGCTGCCACTGTGCAGGGGGCTCAAAAACTCCATGGGAGCTGCTCCTCATGGATTGTGAAGCTTTTTTGCATGAAAATCAACTTTTATTCTGTTTTTCCATGAACTCTTTGAAGTCCACTTAGTAGCATCCCACAGTTGCCTGTGGCACCCTCACCCCTTGCACCCAATGACGCGCAGTGCAGGTGCCCACAGGTGCCCAGGATGGCACAGGCCACTCTGTCATAAGCCCCCACCTCCCTGCACATCCTGTTTCCAGCACCACTGAGTTAGGGGATTTCTGTGTGTTCTCAGCACCCATTCAGGGCAGCACAGAGACCCTGAAGGGTCAGGATGCTGGGCACAATGGTGCTGCAGACGGTGCCACCTGCACTGGCACTGCCAGGAACAGGTCAATGTGAATCACACACATACCTTTAAGTTTTCTAGTTAACACATTCAAAGATGCCAGAACAAAAATTGCTGATGTTCGATCTAGGGATGTGTTTTATTTTATTCCAATATTTGCAAAGTGTTATCATTTCAACACATAAACAAGCAGCTGGGGAGCTTTGGGTCCCTGTCTTACAGGAAGTTCTTAATCTGGCGTGTCTTGTGTGCATGTAGCACATTGAACAGAAACCAATGCACATCAGGAGCTCAGCAGGGCAGAGCCAGTGCTGAGTGTGATGGTCAGGGCCAGTTAGCAAACAGAAGGACCCCATTGTGAGTCCTGTCCTGTTCCCCAGGGCTGTAGGCTGTTCCTCAGCCAGGTCCTGCTCCTCTTGGGGCTCCCAATCCTGCTGCAGCCCCTGCATCCACCCTTCCTAACTCACTCATCCCCGCTCTGTGGCATTGGATCTGCAGCACGTGCATCCGCCGGGGCAGGAAATGACTCGAGTCTTGGCACGCTCAGTGGAAAGAAGCCAAGGGCACGCAGCCTCACGCATGCTGCAGCATCATTACACTCTTTCTTTCTTTCTTTCTTTCTTTCTTTCTTTCTTTCTTTCTTTCTTTCTTTCTTTCTTTCTTTCTTTCTTTTCCTTTTCTTTCTTTTCCTTTTCTTTCTTTCTTCCTTCCTTCCTTCCTCTCAAGATTTATTTTTATTAGAAAGGCAGAGTTACAGAGAAAGGGAGAGAGAGAGAGATCTTTCACCCACTAGCTCATTGCCTCAGATGGCTGCAGCAGCCAGGGCTGGACCAAGCTAAAGCCAGGAGCTTCATCTGGGTCTGCTATGTGTCCTACGACCTGGGTCTCTGCTGCTGCTTTCCCCGGTGCGTTAGCAGGGAGCTAGAGCAGATGGACAGCAACCGAAGGACTGGATTAATACAGGGGACAGTGGGAAGGGAAGAGAAGGAGAGAAAGGGGCAAAGATCTAGACCTGCAAAACTATAAAACAAAATAAAGAGAAAACAAATATTTATGTATATATATATTTTTTTAATTTTATTTGAGGTTCCCCCCAAAAATCCCACCCCCTGACAGATTTTCCCCACGTTGCTACAATAGTATAGTCCTTCATAAGGAGTCATAATTCCATCAGTCTCTTATTTAAGTGTGCCCCGACATTGCTGGTACAGATAATGTCAGACAGTCTGGCATTCCATTGTCTATACATTTCAAAGTTTCATTGGGAATCCATCTTTTGTTTGGAAGCAGGGATGCATGTTGCATTGCACCCCCACATCTGGATATGGTAGACCCCAGTACTCCATCACTATACATTTCCATAAATGAGAAGCCATATATTTGTAAGTGCAGCAACCAGGACTCCAAGCAGTGCCCTTATGGAATGCTGGCGTTGCAGATGGCGGCTTAATGGATTAACTGCAATGCTGGCCTCCACAATGCCCTGCGTTTTCTGCAACTCTCCTTAATGTTTTTAATGCCTATCCCCTATATCCAGTAATGGGATATGACGCAGGACATGGCAAGTCAAGAAATGACCCATTTTTATTAGCTCACCACATAGCTGGGGACTGCTCGCAGTGTTGCCCACAGTGGGTGCCCTCCTGGGCTCCCCTTGTCCTCACTGGGACACTCCTGCCTACTCCACAGGACCTTCAGGACCGTAATGACGAGCTGCAGGCTGAGCTGGAAGGCCTGCGGGCACGGCTGCCCGAGAGTCAGCACAGCCCTGCCCAGGGCCCTGGCGGACACCGACGGCAGCTCCCTGGTCGTGGCCCAGCAGGTACGGGCTGGCACTGGGAAAGGATGGGTGTGAGCCTCAGCGGGGGCAGTCCTGAGGCCTGCCTGGGGCCCAGAGGCTGGAGGATCTTACTGATAGGGTAGAGGTGCTGACCTGGGCACTAGCACTTCAAGGGAGGACCGTGTCCTACCCCCGTCCCGTCCACAGGGGTGTTTCCAAGGAAGATCCAGCAGCCTGACCAGACACAGGGATGGTCACCTGACCAGACACAGGAGTAGGCACCTGACCAGGCACAGGGGCAGTCACCTGACCAGGCATAGGGGCGGTCACCTGACCAGACACAGGGGCGGTCACCTGTCCAGGCACAGGGGCAGTCACCTGACCAGACACAGGGGTGGTCGCCTGGAGAGCCAGGAAGAAAGAGAACCAAAGGCGGGCCCACGCCACGCCCCACAAGAAGGGGGCTGGCCTGCCTGCATGTAGGGAGCAGGGTGTCAGTCTCCCATGCCGTTACCCGTGGGGTTGGGACCAGCTCAGATGCCCAGTGGCCATAGGTTGCCTGCTGAAGTGCTCTCAGATCCTTCTAGAAACCAGAACACATCCTGAATGTCACAGCCAGCCCTTTTGGGGGCCCCACATGCTGGGTGCTGCCGTGCCTGGCATGGGGTGGTGCTGGGGGCTGCATGCTCTCTGCTCACTGCCACAGCCACATGAGAGGTCCTTGGCTCTGAGCCCTCTCCTGCAGGGACAGCCCTTGGGGCCCCAATAGAAATCCTTACAGAGAAACCAGAGGGCATTTCTGCATGTGTCACTAACTTCCTGGGAGCCTGAGAGCAGCCCCACCCCGCCTGCTGGTTCCTATGCTGGAATCAGGTAGCTCCTAAGTCCCACAGGCCCACTGGCCAGGAGACTTGCTAGAACCACTGGGAAGGACCAGGCATTGTCTTGATTGGGTCCCATGCCAGGGAGGCCACAAACATAGAGAATTACATCTTTTTGTGTGTTAAAGACCACTTGTGTAGCTAAAGCTGCGTACTGTACACCAACTGTGAGAAAGTCCATCTTAGTTCAGTTTTTGATGGTGTTGCTTAGTTGGGCAAGGAGGCCACAAGATGTTGGGGTGCAGCCAGCCTGTGGGTCACTTTGAAATCCCCAGAGAAATGTTGTGTGTGGCCAGGCATGTGGTCCAGCCACAGGGAAGGGTTGGGGTGGGAGGTAGATTCCCTTGAAGCAGGGCCCGGCCTGCAGGGCAGACCTGGTCAAGGAACCAGCAGCCAGAATACATGAAGAGGACAGCAGCTGTGGGCAGGCAGCCCTGAGGGTCACCCTCCAACAGGCACTTCCTCTCGCAGCCCTGTGCCTCCCTGCCGGCTCACCACAAAGGTCAGCTTGGCCCCGGAGAAGGAGGGTCTGCTACAGAAGGGGGGTGGTTGGGACAGGCGGTGTTGGTGGGTGGGGTGATGTGGACTGAGCTATAGCCTCCGCTGCTGGGCACCTGCCCGTTTTCCCAGACCCAGTGGCAACTCCTGGTTGTCACGGTGACAAGCTGCTCTCCTTGCTGATCCCGACATCCCAGCCTGGGAAACAAATGGGAGGAGATCATGGGATTGGAGCATGCGTCCTCTTCCCTCTCCTGGCTGCAGAACTGCACAGATGGAGCTTCCTGGCTCCCCTGAGCATGTGCACCTGGGAGTCACCTGCACCTGGGGCAAGCTGGGTAGGGTTCAGGTACATTTGGGGTGCTATGGGCCTGCAGAGTTAGGGTTCAGGTTTGGGTACAGTTAGGGTGCTGTGGGCCTGCAGGGTTAGGGTTTGGGTACATTTGGGGTGCTGTGGGCCTGCAAGGTTAGGGTTCAGGCACATTTGGGGTGCTATGGGCCTGCAGGGTTAGGGTTCAGGTTTGGGTACAGTTAGGATGCTGTGGGCCTGCAGGGTTAGGGTTCGGGTTCAGGTACATTTAGGGTGCTATGGGCCTGCAGGGTTAGGGTTTGGGTACATTTAGGGTGCTGTGGGCCTGCAGGGTTAGGGTTCAGGTACATTTAGGGTGCTGTGGGCCTGCAGGGTTCGGGTTTGGGTACAGTTAGGGTGCTGTGGGCCTACAGGGTTAGGGTTCGGGTTTGGGTACATTTGGGGTGCTGTGCGCCTGCAGGCCTCGTGCCAGTGAGTTACCTTGCAAGGCAGGTACAGTTGTCTGGTGGGTCACTTCTCTTTCCTTTCTGTTCTCAGCAACTTCTAGACATGCTTCTGGAGTTCTGCCTCATTTGTAGGGTTGTAATGCTGACAGAAGGGAAGGCTCAAATACACAGGGGTCCTGAGACCAAGACCTCACCATCAGCTTGTTCACTGCCTGGAAGTCTGTTTCTGGCCAGCTATCTGCCCTCCTGTTTGTGAAAACTGCCACCCCCATGGTGTGGTAAAGGCATTACCTGGCAGCTGGCTCTTAGGGAATGAAAGACCTCGAACCTTCTGGGGAATTGCCTCATTGTCTGAGTCATCTGTGTTCTGCCCAGGTCTTGAGGCACTGATATCTAGGGAACATGGAGTAACCCCCACAGCCAGCAGAGCACTCAGCCTGCGTCGTGCTGTGTTGGCCAGGCGGTGAGAGGACCATGGGGTGGGACCTGTGCTGCCCAGCGTCAGGCTGGGAAGGGGCAATGCGCCTGGGAGGTCGTGCTGTGTTGTTCGGGCAGTGAGAGGACCGAGGGGTGGGACCTGTGCTGCCCAGCCTCAGGCTGGGAAGGGCCCCTGCAGCACCGTGGCTGAGACGTACAGCAGCAGTGTGCTTCCGTCTGCAGGCATCCTGTTTGTGGGTGAGTCCACTCCGATGAGTATAGAAACAGAGATCATGATGGAGCAGGTGAAGGAGCACTACCAAGACCTCAGCATCCAGCTGGAGACCAAGGTGACAGGCTGAGGGCCCCGCAGCTCCACCTGTGTTCCCCACCCTGTGTCCATCCCACCTCTGCCACACACTGAGCCTGCGGGGACTGGTGTTTGATGTCTGTCACGGCCTTCTCGGAAGGGGATGGCACAAGGGTGTGACTAATGATGGGGCGGGAGAGATGCTGCTCTCCAAGTGTGACTTGGGCACACGCTCAGGGCTGGGCATCCTGGGCAGTACTCTGCCCGCTGGCCAGGGGGAGTCATCACCAGCTTTGCTCTGAGCCAGAGGGACTTGGCATTTGCCCTCGTAGGAACTCCGCGGTTTCATGGCCAGGCTGCCCCGGCTGATCCCGTACTCTGTAGCCTCTGGTGGCTGGTAAGGGCTGCTGTCCACAGCCTGCACGTGTCCTGTTCTGAGTGACAGTGGGGTGGGAGCATCTCTTGCCCTGTGCCGCTTTGTTGGGCTCCCTGGGTGGGACAACCAGAAGGTTGCAGAAGAGCCTTACCTGCCTGTGCCCACGTAGTATTCCTTCTGTCAGGGACTGTGGCATACTGAGCGCCACCCGCTGGGCTTGCAAACGCCCTGCTTCCCTAGTTCTCCGTAGTTGTCATGCTGTCTGCCTTCCGGTCTACATCTGAACATACATCCCAGGGGCCACGTGACACCTTGGTCACGCCAGACCGTCATGGTGCTTTGTTCACAACTCTGGCCCCTGTTTAGCCATCACATCTGTCAGCTCTGCTTGTATTTTAGCTGTGTTGTGCTTTTAGGTCCCTCTGATTAGCGTTACTTCTGATTCTCATTTTAGGTCAACTACTATGAGAGGGAAGTGGAGACCATGAAGAGGAACTTCGAGAAGGAGAGGAAAGAGGTGGAGCTGGCGCACCAGCAGGAGATCAGCGTGTTGGAGGAGCAGAGGGCCGACCTGGAGGCGCTGCAGGCCAAGGCGCAGGAGGTCATCCAGGGCCTGCAGGAGCAGCTGCGGGACGTGGCCCGCACCCCTGAGCCCACACAGGCGGGGCTGGGGCAGTGCTGCGCCCAGGCGCTCTCGGGCCTGGCCCTGCGCCTGGAGGAGGAGCTGCGCCTGAGGCACCAGGACCAGCTGCAACAGATGAGGTCTGAGCTTCTTGCCAAGAAATCAGGCTTGGGTGATGTCCCCGAGGTTGCAGGATCTACTGACAGGGTGGTTTCTGTCTGGGCAGATGGATGGGTATGGAAATTATAGCTCATTGTATAGGCATTTCTGCTTTAAATTTAAATTCATCGTTAAATACAGTGTGACCCATGAAGCAGTTCGCAGCCAGGATTTTTTTTTTTTTAAGATTCATTTATTTATTTGAAAGGATTACAGAGAGAAAGAGATTCCATCCATGGTTCAGTTCCCGCATGGGCTGGGCCAGGCTGAGAGCAGTTTCAGAAGAGGACAAGCCCCTCCCGGGCCCTGCAGAGCTTCCTGTGTCTCCCTTGGCCACGCTCCGCAGAGGACACACCTGCAAGGCAGGCGACGTGGCAGCCTTACTCCCCTCCCTGGAAACAGAGAGCCAGGGAAAGCCCCAGGGCTTGGGCTGTGAGAAGAGGGACCATTCCCCTCTCCTGACCCCCAGCCCAGGTCATCAGTGTCACTGGTGTGGACCCTAAAAGGTCACTGTTAAACCATATGGTTGTCCTATTTTCTCTTCAACCCCAGGGCACGCAATAAGGGGCTAAACCCCACCAGACAGGACAGGGACCTGCATGTCCGGGTTCATGTGGATGCCCAGCCACTTATTCACTCCCCAAGAGACCACCCCGGGGCCTAAAGCATTGGCTTTTTGCTGAATCCACCTGGGCTCGCAGTCACCCCTCTGCACGGAGGAGCATTCCCTCCAGCCCCGTCCCTCCTAACCTGGCCACAGCAGCCAGCACCTGAGCTTGGGGCTCCTGCCCAGCCCTGACTTGACTCTCCGGGGCCACCCCCCCCAGCAGCATCCAGGGTTTTTAAGAGCAGTTGGGGCTGTGGGTGAGCCCACCGTCTCATCCTGAGGCTCTCTGCAGTGACGGGCGTGCCCTGTGTCTGGCTCCGTTCTGCCAGCCAACCTCCACTGTCGAGCACCTTGAATGTGGCCAGTGCAACTCTAGGTCTGGATTTTAACTCTTGGCAATTGTAAATCCCTTACATTGATGCAGTCGCCTAGGGCAAGTGGCTTGCTAGGGTGCCTTGTGTTTATAGGAACCCTGGAGGTAGGTCCCCAGCTGGACTCTCAGAAGGTTCGCAGAGTGTAGATGAAGCTCTGGAAGGAACAAGTGGAGTGGGATGAAAACAAGGCAGCCAGGGTTAAGGGGAGAACCAGGGAGGCTTGCACCCCGAGAGGAAGGGTCTGAGGCTCCAAGCTGGCAGAGCCTGTGATGGGTGCCTCCTTTTTCCTCAGGAAGGAGGCAGAGCTGGAGCTGAACCAGAAGCTGTCGTGGCTAGAGGCGGAGCATGCTGCGCACTGTGAGAACCTGGCCCTGCAGCAGCAGCGTGAGAGGGCGCAGCTGCTGCAGGCGCACGAGCTGCAGGTGCAAGCCCTGACGATGCAGCTGGAGCTGCAGAGGGAGCAGCAGGAAGGCAGGGAGCAGGAGATCCGCACGCGCTGCCACAAGCAGCAGCTGAAGCTGCAGGAGGTGACGAGCGAAGAGCAGGCGCAGATCTGCAAGGCATTTGCCCTCGAAAAGGAGAAGTTGGAGCTCACCTACAGGCAGCAAGTGCAACAGCTCACCCACGAGGTGGAGGCACTACAGGCCCTGCTGCAGGGGAGGCTGTCGGCAGCAGGGGAAGAACAGGAGGGCACACCTAGCCCTGCAGCCCTGTGTCTGGGCAGTGTGGAGCGGCCGCCTGCTCAGCCAGAACTGGGCGCTGATGGAGAGACAGAGGAGCCCGCAGGAGAAGGACCTGGCCACTCTTGCTGTGTGGATTCTGTGCACAGTCCAGCTGCAGCCCCCGTCCTGGCATCCAGAGGGCCCTCAGAGAGCACTGACCACAATGAAAACCAAGATGGGCTGCTCAATGCCAAGGAAGGGGCTTCTGTTCCCTCGGATGGGACATCATGTGGGATGGACAAGGGAGGCAAGCTGGAGGGCCCAGTGCCCCCTGACAGTGCCCCAGAGAGCCTGAGTGGGCTTGCTGGCGTGGAGCCACCCTCCCCGGGAGCAGAGGGCAACGACTTAGCAGATTCATCCCGGATGACGGAGCCGCGGCTGAGCTCAGCAGCCTTGGGGACGGGTCAGGCCGAGAGGATGAGAACCGCTTTGGATGAGACAGCCCCAAGAGGGTGTCCCGGACAGACCAGGGACAGTGACAGGGCCCTGGACCCTGCACGCCAGCCTCCCAAGGGGGCAACCCCAAGGGAGCCATCCGCCTCCCACACTGGGCTCCCAGACAGACAGGAACGGCTTGCCATCCTGGGACAGACAGAGGCCGAAGGCACGCCAGACAGAGAGAAGAGTGACGTGCAAGCCAAACTTGTGCAGCTGGAAGGCATCGTCTGTGCGCTTGAGGCAGCAGTGGCTTCTAGAGATGCTGAAAGGTTGGTTTTCCACCCACACTGAGCAATCTGACATGAAACCGCCGGCTTGGATCGGTCACCAGCCTGAGTCCTGTTCTACTGGCAGGGCTGTATGGGCACCATGAGCCCAACCCTGCTGTGGCCTCCCAGTCCCTGGGTGCCCAGCTCGGCAGGCACTGGTGTCTGGGAACAAGGGCTTGACATTTAAAGCCATCACCTTCACCCTGGGTACCTACGGAATCCCCCCGCCTCCTCTGGCTGGGTTTGAGAAAGGTGGGCTTAAAGGGCTGGAGCCCAGCGCTGTCATGGTCAGACAGGCCCCTCTCCTGGTGTAGGAGGAGGTTGGCAATAGGAGCAGACATGTTTGGAAGGGGCCTCCATGCTGCCCGGCTCTGGGTAGGCACCACTGAGTGGGCTGGCGCGGGAGGAGCTGCTGAGTGCCCCTGGGGAAGCATGTCCCTTGGGTAGGAGCTCAAGGAGTTCCTTCTGGGCCAGCTGTTGAGAGCACCTGAAGGAGTCTCCCAGGCTCAGCATCTGGATCCCTGTCTCTCCCCTCTCCCCACCAGCCAGGGATCCAGCCCCGGTTCCAGTGCCTGCTAGTGGTACCTTAGCCGGGATTCACAGCCAGTCCTCTGGATTCTTGGCACCACCATGTGTGCAGCCCCGTACAGGCCCTGGGTCAGCCTCACAGGATCTCGAGGGCCATGATGAGGGTTTTGACCTTGGTCATGACAGGAGAGCCCAGAGAGTGGCTGTGAAGAATCCAGGCCTCCCAGCGAGAGGACATCATGGTTCCCAGTGCACACGCTGCTGCTGGCATGCTGAGTCCTTGGGGACCATGCCTCATTAGGACACTTTACTGCCAAGTGTGGTGTTTGTAGGGACAGTGTCACCTCCTTCTGCAACCCGGGGAAGCTGACTAACACGTGCGCCTCCCCAGCTGCTTTCATGGTTTCCTGTGGGCCATTGCCCTCCTGATGCAGCCGGGGGTAGGCTGTGCGTTTGTGAGCACACCTGTGCGTATCTGTTGAGCTGGAAGACAGTCCCCACGTTCCTGCTGTGGGCCGGCAGTCACATCTTCTAACTGAAGTATCATATGCAGGGTAGAACACTGATCGCCATAGCCACTTGTGTGACTCGGTACCATGAGCGTCCACAGCGCTGTGCAGAGACCACCATCTGCTGGCCTGGTCTTTTCGTCATCCTGAGTGGAAAGTACCCCTTAAACATGATCAGGGTTGTTGTTCTGTGGGTTCCCTTCCCTTGTGGTGTCTTTGAATCTGCTATTGGGAAGAGCTGCTTTTTCTTGGACCATCTGGTCAGCCTCCACAGGAGCCTGACCTGCTTCTGGCTTTCCTTGTGTGTCTGCTGAATCACCCTGTATCTTGCTGAGTCAGGGTAGGACCGAGTCCTGGGAGTTTAGAGTCTGCCCATGTCAAGAAATCAAGGTGCTCACCCTCCAGGATCAGGAGCCAGCGGGAGACTGTCGGCGAGCTCCGTGCACTGATCCCGCGTCCTTCTCAACCCACACCCGAGCAGGCTCAGCTTCCCCCCTTGCCTACCTTCTTTTGTGTTCCTTCTTTTGACCCTAGCTGTTAGCAGATGGAGCTGGAGTGAATTTCTTCAAGTTTGTTTGTCTGAAAAATGTCTTGGGACTTATTTATCTAAAAGGCAGTGTGAGAGAGAGACAGAGATCCCCAAATGGCCACCACATCCAAGCCTGGGTCAGGTCCAAGCCAGGAGCTACCTGCTCTGTCCTGGTCTCCCACAAGCGTAGCGGGGTCCCCAAGTCACCATGGCATCACCTGCTGCCTTCCCAGGCACATTAGCAGAGAACAGAATCAGAGGTGGAGCAGCTGGAGCCGGAATCGGTGTTCCCACGCGGGATGCCGAGGTGCAGGTGCGAGTTTAACCTGCTGCGCCATAGTGCTGGCCCCTCTTTCGTTCTGTTGAATTTATGCTTAGAGGGTTGCGAATATAAGGAAAATGAACACATGGCATGGATTACAGCACATGAGTGGAGCACTCCAAGGAGAAGCCATGCCGTGGTCTCACGGCTTTGCCTGGTTTGTGCTGTCTGTGGGGCAGACCTTTGTCTGGGCTCCCTGATGCCAGCGATTGTTGCCTGGCTTCGCTTGAAGCTGGGTGACTGTACCATGGGTTGTTCCCTCTGCTGTTGACGCTGTTGGGTAGTTGCAGCTTCTGGCTGTGTGACTGCACCATGGGTTGTTCCCTCCGCTGTTGACGGCGTTGGGTAGTTGCAGCTCCCGGCTGTGTGACTGTACCGTGGGTTGTTCCCTCTGCTGTTGACGGCGTTGGGCAGTTGTAGCTCCCGGCTGGCAGGTAGAGTGCTGTGACAGAAGCTCTTGGAGAGCCACATGCTAAGCAATGCTCCTGTCGACCACAGCCCATCACGCCATCGCCATCTCAGCTTCAGCTGCCACTAGGACAGAGTGGTCCCACAGCCAAGTGGCACTTTGTGTCCAGGCTGCTCTACTTCTGATCTAGCTTCCTGCAAATGTATCCTGGGAGGCTCAAGTGCCCAGTCATGGTTGGTACCTGGATGCAGTCCCTGGCTCCAGCCTGATCTAACATCAACTGTACGGCATTCAAGAAGTCTGTCCCTCTTTCTCTCTCTCTCCTCACTCCATATTCTGGCTTTCAAGGAGATTAAAAGCATTAAACTTCTAAAAATTTCTTGGAGCCAGCACTGTGGCAACTTAGGCTACTGCCCGCAGTGTTGGTACCCCATGGGCACTGATTAGTCTTGCCTGCTCCACTTCCTGGCCAGCTCCCTGCCACCCAGGAAAGCAGTGGAAGATGGCCCAAGTACTTGGGGCCTTGCATCTGCTAGAAACTGGATGAAGCTCCTGACTTCTGGCTACTCGTTGGTCTGCCCTAGCCACTGTAGCCATTTAAGGAGTGAACCGGTAGATGGAAGAGTTCTCTCTCTCTCTCACCTTCACTTTCTATAACCCTGCATTTGACATAGGTAATCTTTGAAAAGCGTTATCACCGGGCCACTTTTTCTGTGTAGCACTATAGTCCTGAATGACCCTTTTGGGAAGCATAGAGAATTCCCTGACTGTCAGAGCTGCGAGGTTTCCAGTTGGCGACAGGGTGAGCGAGTTGTACATCAGTTGACAATCAGTGGTGCTTGGAGTGCCGCTGCGAGCAGACATGGCACCCCAGGGCTCATGCCCTGTCCCGCAGGAGGGGAAGTCCCCTCACAGGAGATGTGCCCCTGGCCTCGAGGGTCTCCACACATAGACCAGGGTATCCCACGTGCTTCTCTCGGGGTTGACCGTAGGGGGAGGAGCAGGGCTCACAGCTAGTCTCTGAACTATTGTGCAAGAGCTTGTCTGCAGGGGGCAGTGTGTTTCTCGCACACAGTCCTCGGCTAGAACTGGGGCACGCACCTGGTCAGGGAGCGGTGGGCCCCAAGTGAAGGACTCCAGGGTGCCCAGGGCACCAGTGCATTGCTGATGGCCTAGACCAAGGTCTGTCTGCCGCAGCCTGACTGCACATGCAGAGTGTGTGAGTCCTGTGTCCTCCGAGAGCAGGGGCTGCTCAGTTCCAGCACTTCCTGCCAGAGAGCCTGGACCCCTGACTGCACGTGGTGGGCACTTCCTCCAGGGCCCACCCCTCTCTTTTCTGCTTTTTTCCCCACACAGAATCGAGTTTCAGAGGCTGTCTGAAGAAAACGTGTTATTGAGGAAGGAGCTGGGAAGGGTTCGGCAGGAGCTCGAAGCTGCCGAGAACGCAAGTGGCGTGTACAGGTGGGCAGCCTGCTGCCAGGAGAGTGAGCTGGGAGTGGCTGGCACAGGGCAGCCGGGACATGCACAGAGCTGCTGGGGCTGCCACAGAGCAGTGGGCCTGGCACAGGGCAGCCGGGGCATGCGCAGAGCTGCTGGGGCTGGCACAGAGCAGTGGGCCTGGCACAGAGCAGCCGCGGCAGGTACAGAGCTACCAGGGCCGGCTCGCCACTCAGCCTGCCCTCAGGAGAGTGAGCCTGGGAGGGGCAGGCGCAGAGCAGCCTGCACCATGGAGTCTGGTTTGGGTGAGGCCTGTGGCCACCTGAACAGGCCAGGGAAGCCAGCGAATGCACCCCAAGAACCACATCAGCTGCGTTTCTCTGTGTGGATAGGTGCCGGCTTATTTATCAGTGACCCAGAGCCGGAAGGGGGCTGTGGGGGTGCATCCATCAGGCAGTGAGGGAGGACATGTACCGCAGGAGCTGGTCCTCCTGCCACCACCGTGGCCACCTCCAGGACCGCACATCAGGATGCCCGTTGCTGGAGACAGGGTCTTCATTGGTCCAGTGTTCCTGGAGCCCCGTCGGCATGCCCTACAACTGCATGTCAGCAGTCCCAAATCCTGTGAGTTTAATTACTCTCGGCTCAGGTCTGCCGCCGGGACCCCTGAGATCACCGACCTCAGCAGGTGTGAACCGCGTGTCTGTGCCGACACGGGCGTGGCACCATGACCATCTGCAAACGTGGCCAGAGTCGCAGTCCCAACTCTGCATTTTGGAGATGGGGATGGGCTCGCCCTCGTCACGGCCATCAGAGCTGTGACCAAGAGAAGACCGGTGTCTGAAGGGTACTCACCTGTCGTGTGCTTCTTCAACAGGAAGGAAATAGGAGTTCTGAAGAGAGACAAGGAGAAGGCCTGCGCTGCAGTGGAGGAGCTGAGCAAACAGGTCAGGTACTGGTGCATGGCAGAAGGCTCGTGTGTGTGTGTGTGTGTGTGTGTGTGTGTGTGCGCGCACCTGAGGATACATGATCACTGCCTGACTCAGTGACTGCACAGTCATGCGCGAGCACTGTTGCCCAGGACACATGCATGTGTGAGTGCACAGGATGCATATGCCTGGCGTGTGCACACATGTTTGTGCATGTGTTGTGTCATCCGTGTACCTGAGTGTCATGGCACGTGTGTGGCCTGCATGCAGACGTCTAATGTGGTCCATGGGTACGCTATGGCGTCATGCGTGCGTACACACATCTGAGCCCACGAGCAGAGCGGAGCATGGGGAAGGTGCTGCTGATTCTGTCACATTCTGCTCTTACAACTGAGTTATAACCATTTCCATCCGATCGTATTTACTGAAGACACATACAAGAGAATCAACTTAGTTGATCCCCAAAGTGAAAGAGAAATGTCATTTCCGTCATGTAGTCTAGGCTGTTCTCAGAGGTGACAACGATGCAGATCAATATAGAGAACGAGTTTTAGTTGTTGCAGTATAAAGTGATGACCATGAGAGGGGTCACTGCCAGCCGTCACGTGATGGAAACACACAGACCACGTGATGAGTATGAGAGGGGCCACAGCCAGCCGTCACGTGATGGAAACACACAGACCACGTGATGACCATGAGAGGGGTCACTGCCAGCCATCATGTCATAAACACACAGACTCATGTCAGATGAACCCAGGTCACAACCATTTCAGGGTTCCCTTATTAAGCTCACAAAACCACCATGCTAAGACTGCTGAGAGCACACCCTAAAAACACCCCAAGAGCTGCCTATCTCCCAAATCCCAGCTCACAGAAATAAAACAAGCTAGCAAGAATGTGACTTCCCCGCCCCATATTCCTGTATTCAGTGTCGGCAGACAAGTGTGAGGGGCACTCTCCTTCCTTTAGACTGATTTTATGTGTTCACCTATCGGAAAGGCAAAGTTACAGAGAGAGGAGAGAGATCTTCCGTCTACTGGCTCACTCCCTGAATGGCTGCCATGGCCCCAGCTGGGGCAGGCCAAAGCCAGGAGCGTCTGGATCTCCCCATGGGTGCAGAAGCCCAAACACCACTGCTTTCCCAGGCCGTTAGCAGGGAGCTGGATCAGAAGCAGAGCAGCTGGGACTCAAGCAAGCACCCGTGCGGGATCCTGACACCACAGGTTGAGCAACACTTTACCTGAAGACTTCCTTTTCTTGTATCTGGAAAGTTTGTGTGTCAAGTTTAGATCATTTTCTCCCCTAATTGGCTTAGAGTCTAGAGGAAGTGACTGGGTGAGGGTTAATGGTGGCCATGGCCTTGACCACTTCTTGCTGGTCACAACCCTGGGCAGTGCAGCAGTCCCAGGGTTGCAGGCAGCCATCCCCACTGTCGGGTGGCAAACACTGCCAGCTACAGACATCCACACGTGTCTGTGACTTTGCCCAGAGGCCTGGGAACTGCTTTCAGCTTAGAAACTTTTCTATTTTCATATCTGTATCTTTACCTGTTTTGTTCCAGGGTCAGAAATATGAGGATGAACTCTCCCAGCTCCACAACAGGGTCCTGCAGCTGGAGGAGGGTGCTTCTGGCCACCACACCTGGAGGGACAAGAACCACGTCACTGTCACATTGCTGACTCGAGGGCTGGAGGAGGCAGGGGAGCGCGAGGGGCAGCAGGTGCGGATCCAGGCAGTGCCATTCACACTCCAAGGGCATGGCAGGGGAGAGGCACAGCTCAAAGCCTGGGCTGAGGTGCTGGAAGGGAGCAGCCCTGGATGGGCCACGAGGAAGTGTGAAGCTGGCCTGGGGAGTGGGCAGGCTTCAGCAGCAAGTCCCAGGGGCTGGAAAGATAGCCATTGCTGCCCACAAGGCAGGAGGCCCAGAATGTCTGTGGGCCTCTTGGGGATTTTAATCCAAGAAGTTGTGGCGACAGCAGCTGGGGTCGCCCTGTGGCATTTCTGCTCAACAACCAAGTGATGTTGGAATGAGCTGGGCATGGCCCATGAAGACCCAGCTTTTCCAGTAGTTTACTGCAAGGAAGAAGGCCCAGGCTGAGACCAGGAGCAGAGCGAGGCTGACGCCCTCTGCCTGGCGTTCAGATGTCGTCTTAGGACTAGTATGTGTGCAGGAACAAGGGCCAGGGGAGCCTCCAGCCACGAGAACCCTGCGGAATTTAAACTGTGTCATTAAAAAAAGTTTCTGTCACTGTCTGAGGTTTCCACATTGGACATGTATCAGATGGCTTAGGGATGTCTTGTGTTTCTGGAACAGGGTGAACAGATCCAAAAACTTGAGGTTGAACTTGAACGCATGAATCAGGAGTGTCAGCACCATCGGAGACTGTCACCATCGGAGCTGGAAGAAAGTCAGCCACAGGTGGGTGTGCACGCTGGCTGCAGGCCTTGAGCCCAGGCCTGGCCGGATAGAGTTGGAGGGACGGGCACCCTGGCCTGACGGCACTGCCAGTCACTGAGCCGATCAGATGACACTTCCCTGCCATGTGAGAGCTCGAGTTCCTCGCCAGTGCAGGGGGAACAGCTGAGCAGAGAACCCCCAGGAGTTACAGGGTGGCCTCTGAGGGAGGAAGTGGGTACCAGCACGAGGGTGGCACAATGCCTGTACTCTGCCTCACACCCACACAGCTGCTGGCTATGCAGGGTCAGGGCTGGGTAACCAAGCACCTCACAGCCCTGGACACCAGACACACACAGGGCAAGGCGGAGCAGGGACTCAACTGGGAAGCTGGTGCCTCCCCAGGAGCGGGTGCTGATGGAGCATGAGGAGAGCATCCAGGTTACAGTGGACGAGCCCCAAGGACCCCATGCAGGTCTGCCGTGGTGTGTACAGGCCTGGCCTGGGTCGCTGGCTGGCCTGGATCGCCGGCTGGCTGACCCTGGGTCACTGGCTGGCTGGTCACTTGCTGAGTCTCTGCCTGTGAGGTCACTGACCTGAGGCTGGGCCCCACCCTGGCTTGCCGAGGCTGCAGAGGAGTTGGCCTGGATGGCAGACCCTGCAGCTTCGGACATGTCGGGGGGTGCTCCCTGTGAGAGGTGCTTGCCCAGCAGCACCTCTGGGGTCAGGGACTGAAAGGAATGTTGGAAAAGTGTCCCTTGCCTACAACTTCCCCCAGCCACTTTCCATTTTGAGGGCGGTGCTCGCTCAAGCACTGGTGGCTTCTGAGGGCAGCATTTGCCACAGCGTAAGGTGCCGCTGTCTCCTGCTGAGTCTCTGGGTTCAAGTCCCGGCTGCACTCCTGATTCCAGCCTTCTCTAATGCACAGCCTGGAAGGCAGCAGGTGGTGGCTCAGCAGGTGGTCCTTGCCCCTCTATGGGAGACCCACCTGGAGCGCTGGGCTCCCAGTTTCTCCCTAGCCCTGACTGTTGCAGGCATTTGAGGGGTGAACTGGTAGATGAAAAAATTCCATCTGTAGCTTGATTTCAAATAAAATGAAAATAGTTTAGTTTCTTAAAGTATTTTTAGATGCTTATTTTCATCTTTTTAAAAGGCAGAAAGAGAGATCTACCTGCTAGTTCACTCCTAAAATGTCTACAGTTATCAGGATTGGGCCAGTCCAAAACCAGGAGCTAAGAATCCATCCAGTGGGCCTGATGCGGTGGTCTAGCGGCTGAAGTCCTTACCTTGAACGCTCCCCGATCTCATGGGCGCCGGTTCTAATCCCGGGAGCCCTGCTTCCCATCCAGCTCCCTGCTTGTGGTCTGAGAAAGCAGTCAAGGACGGCCCAAAGCCTTGGGACCCTGCACCCGTGTGGGAGACCTGGAGGAAGTTCCTGGCTCCTGACTTCAGATCGGCTCAGCACTGGCCGTTGGGGTCACTTGGGGAGTGAACCATTGGATGGAAGATCTTCCTCTTCCCTCTGTCTCTCCTCCTCTCTGTATATCTGACTTTGCTATTTAAAAAAAAAAAAAAGAATCCATCCAGGTCTTCCAGGTAGGTGATGGGGACCCAACATGAGATCAGCCAACATGGCCACAGTAGGGGCGTCCTCCACTGCCTTTCCAGGTGAATTAGCAGGGAGATGGATCAGAAACAGAGCAGCCAGGACTCAAACCCATGCTCCCATGGGGGACATGCATGTCCGAGCTTAACCTGCTACACCACAATGCCTGTTCCCAGAGTAAACCTTGGAACCCCTGCAAACACACGGAGCCCACATGAAGCCCAGCGTCTACAGGAGCAGATGGGCTGCTGCTACATGGGGCCATGAGGCCTGTGACTGGCAGTCCATGCTCAGCAGAGGGCGCGGGGCGGGGGTGCAGAGGAGGTTAGGTGGGACACAGCGGGTAGTTAGACAGCTGCTCTTGGTCCCCCCAGGGACAGCCAGTGGGACCAGAGGGTGAAGTTAGGTGGCCTAGGTGGCCGGCCCTGTTAACCTGGGCAGAATGGGAGCATGGTAGCAGCCTGCAGCCCATTGCTATGACCACAGGTGAGTAGCTGCAGGGGGACGGGCCGGGTTCAGCTGGCCTTGGGCTGCCCGGCCCAATAGCCAGGCTCTGTGTGGCTGGAAGCGGCTCTGAGGCCACACACGGAAGCATGGTGGAAGAGGTGGGGGCAGGACGGTGTGCACGGCACAGAGCGGGCTCCAGTTCTTCCCAGATACAGATCTCTGGTTTCAAAGGATGCTGAGAACTGCCCGCAGCACCCACAGCCCTGCTGTTTGTTGGGTGCACGGTGGAGATGGAGACATGGACATGGCTCTGTCCCCCAGGAGTGACACACTGGGGGAGGTGGGGACACAAATGCAAAATAAAATGGGAGCCAGGCAGGGGACTTGGGACGTTTATGCAAAAAGGTGCTAAAAGGAGGTTTATTTCCACACCAAATATTTTGAATTGTGCGTTTACTTTGAGGTGACTTAAATTTTGATTGCATTTTCCATTAACTTTTTTTTAAAGATTTGTTTATTTTTGTTGGAAAGGCGGATATACAGAGGAGAGACAGAGAGGAAGATCTTCCCTCCGATGGTTTACTCCCCAAGTGGCCACAATGGCTGGAGCTGAGCCAATCTGAAGCCAGGAGCCTCCTCTGGGTCTCCCACGTGGATGCAGAGTCCCAAAGTTTTTTGGGCCGTCCTCGACTGCATTCCCAGGCCACAAGCAGATGTATGGGAAGCGGGGCTGCCGGGATTAGAACCGGCGACCATATGGGATCCCTGCGTGTTCAAGGCGAGGACCTTAACCATTACACTACGCCATCGCGCCAGGCCCTCCATGAACTTTTTGAAGCTTCCCATGTACTTGGCGTGTCTGAGGAAAAAAGGGCTCAGGCGAGGGGTCCCAGCTGTGTGCCCGGTGCCATGCAGCCCACTGAAGCAGAAAGGGCACAAGACGTGGTGGCTCAGAGCGTCCACTAGCCAAGTGCCCCAGGCCTCTGCTAACTCAGAGTTAAGGTCTCTGTGTCTCGGTTTCCCAGCTGCCATCTTCAAGCACCAGTGGGAGCCACCTGCTGGTGGGCGTTAGTGAGGTGGCCTCTGGGCACCCACTGCAGATGGCAAATGCAAAAGGCCCAAGGAACAGCTCCTGCTGGAAATACCCTGGTGTGGTCCCAAGGTGCCTCCGGGGCCAGACTTCACAGCCTAGGAGCAGGGAGCACCTCTGGGAGTTAGACAAGTGTTCCAGGGCTGTGGGTGGGGCACACGCAGCTCTGCAAGTCCCAGTTCCTTGCCAGTCTGCAGGACAGTCTCAGTAAATATGAAATGCCAGTCTGCAGCCTCGTGTTGTATGTGGCAGGAGGAACGGGAGAGGCAGTTGGAAGCCGCGGCAGAGCGGGTGCGAGAGGTGGAGACGCGCCTGCGCAATGTGGAGCTGCTCTTGCAGGACAAAGTGCAGGAGCTGACGCAGCAGGTGAGCAACAGCCCCAGCTCCCCAGCCCCTTCCACGCAGCTGAGGGACAGGCCAGCCCCAGCTCCCCAGCCCCTTCCACGCAGCAGGCAGCAAGCGAGAGACGTGCTGGCCCCAGCTCCCAGCCCCTTCCACGAAGGTGAGGGACAGGCCGGCCCCAGCTTCCCCACCTCTCCCCCTATGTTTTTTCCTGGTACCGTAGCCCCCAGCTGACCCAGGGAGAGACTGGCACAGAACCCAGAGAATCTGGTGTTGGATCACTTCCAGTGCCTGAGTCTGGCCATAGCCAGGAGGCTAGCCGGGACACAAGTCGTTGCGTCCTAGGGTGCAGAGTAGCAGGGAGCTGGAAATGAAGTGGAGGCGGGACTCACTGCCATGGTACTGCAGTATGGGATGCGGGCAGCCCACTACCTGGAGGAGCTGGTTTTCAGGTCATGCAGCCCCCCTGCAGGCATTTAGGGTTGTCTTTAAATTGTCACAACTGAGTTCAGCAGCTCCTCCCCTGGGCTGGGGCGGGCGGCGGGTGCGCCTGCACAGCAATTGTGTGCAGCCAGCCCATCTCCCGTCTCCCAGCTGGAAAGGAACGCGAGGTCCGACCTGCTGCTCAAGGAGCTCTATGTGGAGAACGCGCACCTCGTGAAGGCCCTGCAGGTGACCGAGGAGCAGCAGCGGAGGGCCGAGAGGAGGAGCCGAGGCCTGGAGGAGAAGGTCCGAGCCCTCAACAGTCTTGTCAACCGCATGGCTCCCGCTGCCCTCTCTGTGTGAGCGCAGACCCGTCCCTCGCACACAGGTGGAAGTCGCTTCCAGGAGTGAGCCTGCGTATTCTCCCACACTCCAGCCAGGCATCCGCGCACACCTTAGGGCCAGGATGGTCTGTGAGATGATCAAGCAGGTGCGCTGGAGCAGTTCGCGTTGCACCTGCACTGGGAGTTCTTGGAGTTGCAGCCACACCCCTGGAGTGGTGAAGGGATCCCTGGGCAGGTGGACCTCAGGTGTGTGGGCTCAGGGAAGCCATATTTATTGCAAATGAAAGGGTCACTGCAAGTTTGTACTCTATGAGGAACAATTTTATATATATATATATGTTTATATAAAATATGTATAGTTTTATATCTGAAATATATATAAATTATGCTACTTGTATTATTGATATAAAATCTTTGCAATAAACTGTTCTATGAAAATTCACTTGTAAATCTGTTCGTTATACTGTCTTAAATGTAGTTTAAGTTTTACAAGAAACACCTGCACGGCCACAACCACACCCTGAAAACCACCGTCCTCCCTGCCAGGCTGCTGTGCTGCCCAGCGCCCCCAGGCTTGCCCTGCAGCCACACGCCCCCCTTCCATGTGGGAGCTTAACTGCACACATTCCTGGGGGAACCCCAAGACTGGATGAATTTGCAGCATCAGTTGTTGGGTAGGGAGAGCTGGAAGCATTGGAATATGATCCCAATAAAGACACAAACCAGTGCTCCCTGCACTCGAGAACTGGGCAGGACAGGTACAGCTTACTGTACGACCCAGGAACCAAAAAGGAAACTGCAGAACATCCTGCTGGAAATGAGTAAAATCATCACAGCCTTCCCTGCTTCCCTCGCGAAGAGACAGATGTCAAGTCAGTACGCCCAAGCATTCAGTAAGCGAAAGCCAGTGCAGGGCACACCACCACCTGTCCCATGACCTGAGCCATGCAGGCCAGCCAGCTGTCTGGGGCACACACAGCACCTCAGACAACCACACACACAAAGATCTGCCTTCTTCCTACATACACAGGCACTCCACATGGAACAATGTTTTATTTTTATTTTAAACAGAATGTCAGGACTACAGTACAGTATATTACAAAACAAGGTAGGAACAATGACCTACAACACAGAAAACAGTTCTTTAACAGCAAACATGGTCTTGTCCAAGTCCTCCTGGCTGTCCTAGTGACAAGCACAGGGCAGGTGGGCTTCAGGCGCTCTCAGTAGTGGTCCCAGCAGCCCCAGGGCATACGCACAACAGCAGGAGGACACCACACACTCCTGCTCAAGACAGGACATGCTCCAGAACTCCTTGTCTGATCAACTGCTCACACTTCCCCCGGGGTAGAAAGTGCTGAGGGAAGAAGGGGGAAAGAGAGTAAGAAGGACTGAAGAATTCTAAATCACTTTTGCAGTAGTGAATGATTATATATTCCTTCCACTGCCACAGCCAAGCAATTAAATGCTAAACTTAGTGTTTGCTGTTGTAATCCACTGGAACTGATGCCCCTTACGGTGGGACTGAATTCTGATTTCCTCGTTTGCTAAATTAACTAGATTCCATCCCTGGGATGTGTGACACAGTTCACTCCAGCCCCTGCTCTCACACTCGGGTCAAGTGGAAACATGGATCGAGAACCCAGCCCCAGGCCTTGTCCCTGGCCGAGCCATCCAGTGTGAGCTCGCCTTGCCTCTCTGCTGCTCACAAAAATTTACATTTATTAAAAAAAAAAAAAAGAAAGAAACTCTCACTTCTGGACTAAAATAAAAGCTGCCAGTCACACTGACAAATGTACAGAAAGAATTGTGGTTACCAAATGTTTCCTTTTCAGTGGTTCACATTACACAAATGATCTATATCACTTCTATAAACAATCCTAAATGTGATCATTTTGGAAGCCACTTAATACCAACTTTAACTGGCTATAACTCAGAGTCTCCATTGTTGAAACTGAAGCTGGGCAGGCCACTTTGCGACTGGGCTCTAAGCATCACGAGGTGCACACTGAGCCGAGAGGCAGGGCAGGCCCAGGCTCAGGGCAGCGCTGCCAGAGCCGCCACAGCACGTGACAGAGAGCACAGCAAGCGGTGTGAAGTGATGCTTTGTCTCTGTGATCTGAGCTTCCTGTGAGAGTCCCCCAGAACTTCCGCCTCAGCTACTTGGGATGCACTAGTCTCTGACTCCTGTGAGGACACACAGGCACGACATCTTTACCTTAGCCAGAAATGAGAACACCCGCAAACATCTGTTTTTATAATATCAAACCCTGGGCCTGGCACTATAGCTGAGCGGCTAAAATCCTCGCCTTGCACGTGCCAGAATCCTATATGAATTAACGCCAGTTAACGTCTTGGCGGCTCGACTTCCCATCCAGCTCCCTGCTTGTGGCCTGGGAAAGCAATCGAGGACAGCCCAAAGCTTTGGGGCCCTGCATCCATGTGGGAGACCCAGAAGAGGCTATAAGCTCCTGGCTTAGAATCAGCGCAGCTTCGGCCGTTGGGGCCACTTGGGGAGTGAATGAAAAGACATAAGATCATCTTCTCTGTCTCTCCTCCTCTCTGTATTTCTGACTTTCCAATGAGAATAAAATAAATCTTAAAAAAAAAAAATCGAACCCAGTGTGGTAACCTAGTGGCTAATGTCCTCACCTTGCACACGTAGGGATTCCATATCAGCAGCAGTTCCTGTCCCAGCTGCTCTGCTTCCCATCCAGCTCCCTGCTTCTGGACTGGTAAAGCAGTCAAGGACAGCCCAAGACCGTAGGAACCTGCACCCGCCTGGGAGACCCAGAAGAGGCTTCTAGCTCCAGCCATTGCTGCCACTTGGGGAATGAACCAGCAGATGAAAAACCTTCCTTTCTCTCTCTCCTCCTCCCTCTATCTCTGACTTTCCAATAAAAAATAAATCTTGGGGGAAAAAACCCAACCTTCATTTTTGTAAACTACTAATAGCTCCAAAGATGCCAGCTTATTTGCATTAAGGAAATCAGCCCAATGATTGCATGGCCTGCAGTGCCAGGCTACCCCACATGAACAAAGCCCTCACGGGGATGTGCAGAACTGGACACCAAGGCTCTGCATTGAGGTGGCTTTTACTGGATCATTTTTCTCCCTATACTGTGTCCTCAGAAAACTTGAAGAGCATAAAAAATCAATTTAGCTAAGAGGACTTCACCTAGTATGAATCTGAAGATTTCTAAGGAAACAATAAATACACTGAGATTCTTCATAAAAAAAAATTAGCCTAAGTTATAGTCTTCAAATTTCTGTCTTTCCCTGCTAAATTCTGGTATGCTGAAAAATTCCGTAGGAAAAAAGATTTATTTATTTGTCTGGAAGGCAAGGTAGAGAGAAACAGAGACAGACGTTAAATCTACCAATTCACTTTCCAAAAGTCACAGAAGCCAGGGCTGGCGCGGCAGAAGCTAGGAGCCAGAACTGTCACCTGGGTCTCTGGTGTAGGCTCGCTCTCAGGCAAGGTGGCAAGGAGCTGGATTGGAAATGGAGCAGTCAAGACTTACCACGAGTTGATGTGGGAGATAGAGAAGTAGGATTTAAAAGTGAAGTACAGGTTTAAAATTAAAGCTTGGCCACTTTTGTTGATAAATTGGAATTCAAAGAAAAAAGGTAACCCCAGTAGTTTAACATCCCCAGATGATGATCTGCCACTTAACTAAAGCATGGGCCATCACGGTAATTCCCCTAGAAAACGGTTAGTGTGAAATGTAAGAATTACCAAGCAAATCAGCATTTTCTGACCATACAACATTTGCTTCTAGTATTAGCATATTACACTTAATGTCCAAGATGCAAATGATTATTACAAGGTGCTACTTATTTTACTACTGTTCCTAACAGTTCCACTATCAATCCTCTTAAAAACTGAAGAATATCTGAAGACAAAAAGAAATACCTGGCTATTTTTCTTCAGTAAGACCGAAGTGCCATCATCAATTTCAAATTCTCCATAGTCTTTTAGACACCGCACCTGAAAGGAAAAACAGATACTTAATCTAAATTATGCAATACACATATGCAGGAAAAGAAACAAAAACAGCATTCAGCAAACACCTGCTCGGTGCCAGTCCAGCACTCTGTCTTGCCCTTCCCTGTGCCCTCAGGCTGGCTGCTCCTGGGGAACTCGAATGCTCCAACCATCCCTTCTCACCCTCCTTGCTGCCTCAGGCTCGCCCGCTCCATCTGTCCCGCCTGACAGGGAGGGACAACAGCCAATGGTGCTACAGAACAACAGGCTCATCTTCCACCTTCAAACAGCATCCCATACGGCTGCTGGTTCATGTCATGGTTGCTCCATTTCCCATTCAGCTCCCTGCCTTTGGCGTGGGAAAGCAACAGAGGATGATCCAAAGCCTTGGGATTCTGGGCCCACGTGGGAGACCCAAGGGTCTTGGCTCTTGACTTTGGATCGGTACAGCTCCGGCCACTGTAGTCACTTTGGGAGTGAATCATTGGATGGAAGAGCTTCCTCTCTGTCTCTCCTCTATATATTTGACTTTGCAATTTTTAAAAAAAAGTCAGACCAACAGAAAGAAGCAGAGACAAAGAAAGCTCTTCTGTCCTCCTGCTCACTCCCCAAGGAGCCATAACAGCCCGAGCTGAGCCAATCTGAAGCCAGGAGCTAAGCGCTTCTTCTGGGTCTCCCATGTGGGTGCAGGGTCCCAAGGTTTTTTTGGGCTATCCTGTGCTATTTTCCTAGGCCATAATCAGGAACCTGGATGGAAAGGGAGTAGCTGGGACACAAACTGGCGCCTATATGAGATGCCAGCATTTGCAGGGGGAGGATTAGCCAGTGGCGCCATCATGCCAACCTGAGAAAGTTTTCAATAAATAGTCCAGGTCATCTCAATATCCTCATACAAAATGAAATCTGACACCTGCCTACATTCTACACAGAAAGCCAATCCCAATAACTGCAGAGCTCTCTGAAAGGCAGGGGTTCTAAAAGCTTACACCGAAAACAATGTTTAGATTTATTTATTTGAAAAGGAGAGGGGAGATGGGGAGAGAGGGGAGATGGGAAGAGAGGGGAAGGAGGGAGGGGAGAGAATGTGTGTGTGTATGAGAATGTGTGCCTCTATCTGCAGTGAGTGTGGGTGACACAAAGGTGTGGAGAGAACAGCTCCCCTGTTGGCAAGGCCGTGAGGAGCTTGCAGCTGTATGGCACAGCCTGACAGATGTCTCTCCAACCAACTAGACCCACTCTCACCCCCTCTGCATGGACACTCAGCCACCCCGCCAAGCATTCTGTAATCCATTGAGACATTGTTGTTTGCCCCGAGAGATGGCTTTTGCAACCAATGTGAGCCTGGGAGTTAATGTTGCTGACTATGTCCTGGTGAGTAGGCCTTTAACTGCACACAGGAGTACGTTCAGCCCATGCCGTTTCTGGACACCTTACTGTGTGCCTACCCATTGCCTCGGAATCTGGCCCAGACACGTAGCATGCCTTCTGGGAAACGGCTTGATAAGAATCCTACAAATTAGTGGAAGTGATGGGAGTATGAGCTGTACCGTTCCAATTTAGTGCATGGGCTGCCGAAGCAAGCACAGATCAGTATCTCTGAGGAACACTGATGAAGATGCCCTCAGCATGATAGTGCCAAACTGCATTAATAGGTATATTTAGCAGCATATTAAAAAGTTACAGACATGAGCAGCTGGGATTCCCAGAATGTGAGAATGTTTCCACAGGCAAACATCAATCATAATAAACCACATTAACAGAAGCAATTTCAACTGACACAGAAAAGACATTTGACAAAGTTCAATGCCCTTTCGTGATTCAAAACACTTAACAAACTAGGGAGAGAAGGAAATACCTCAACATAACAGGCCACATGTATGTAAAAACCGCTGCTCAACAATACCAAAGCCTTTCCTTCTAAGCTCACACAGGCAAGCATGCCTGCTTTTGCCACTAACATACAACATACAACTGAAGTTACAACCAGATTAATTAGGAAAAGAACAAGCTTCCAAACTGGAAAGGAAGAACTAATTCTCTTTACAGATTTCTTTTTTTTACAAGAAACCTCAAAGATTACACACATTCACACACACACACACACACACACACACACGTGTTAGAACTTGAAGTATCAATAGTCAAAACACAAAATGTTTCACCTCAACATACCGGTAATCTGAGAAGAAAATTAAAAACAAGCAAGGCCAGGCAGCGGAAGGCATGGCAGACAAGCTGTCAGCACAGCAGGGTCAGTTTGTCACTGGGAAGGGATGCACTGGGACACATCAACAGAGCTCAGCGGGATGAACACAGAATCACAGACAAGGGGCCCATGCTGTAACATTGTGGGTTAAGCTGCCACTTGCAACACAGGTATTCCATATTTTAGAGCTGGATGGAATCCTGGCTCCTTCCCTTCCAGTCCAGCTTCCAGTCATCTATTCTGGCTCCAGCTTTGAGCCTTCCCTGCCTTGGCTGTTGTGATCACCGAGGAATGAATCGGGGAAGGGAGTTTTCTGTGTCTTTCCTTTCCCCATGTTTTGCTTTTCACTGTATTACTGGAAAGTCAGATTCACAGAGAAGGCTCTTCCATCTGCTGTTTCACTCCCTAAGTAGCCACAATGGCCAGAGCTGAGCTGATCTGAAGTCAGGAACTTCTTCCAGATCTCCCATGTGGGTGCAGGGTCCCAAGGACTTGGCCCATCCTCCATTGCTTGCTCAGGCTACAAGCAAGAAGCTGGATGGGAAATGGAGCAGCCAGGATATGAACCTGCACCCATACGGGATTCCAGCACATGAAAGGGTGGACTTTAGTCATTAGGCTAACGTGCTGGGCCCTATGTTTTGCCTTTTAAATAAAACCTTAAAAATTAAACAAGAAACAGGGTCAGTGCAGTGGGAGAGCATGCTGAATCTCCACCTGAAGCACCGGGATCCCATGTGGATGCCAGTTACAGCGCCAGCTGCTCCATTTCCCATCCAGCCCTCTGCTACGGCCTGCTTAAGCTGCAGGGGACAGTCCAAGGCCCTAGACCTCGCACCCACATGGGAGACCAGAAGCTCCTGGCTTCAGACCAGCCCTGCTCTAGCCAGTGCGACCACTGACAGTGAACTAACACATGATAACTCTCTCTGTAACTGGCTTTCAACTAAAATTTAAAAACCTTTCAAATAAATAAATAACAACAAATGGCACTGGGGAAACTGACTCTCCACATGCGAAACAATGAAGTTGGGTCACGCCCTAACATCATATTTCGAAATTTATTCAAAATTAGCTCAAAGGCTTAAAAAATATGCAAATTACCTATCTGATTAAGGTATTACTATTCAGACTATACACAAATCTAGTGAAATTGCACACACACACAAAAAAATTTCAAGAGAGGCAAAGAACATTTCACCAAAGACATATAAGTGGCTAAAGAGGAATCAAAGTGGCTCAACACCACTAGGTGTTGGGATAATTCAAGTCAGATCACTAAAATGTACCACGTCACACATCCTTAAGAATGGTTGTGATTGAAAAGGAACAAGCACTGGTCATACGTGCAGAACCTGAAACCGTGAGCACTTCAGGTAGGAAGGAGCTGTATAAACACGGCCTGCTGCAGAGGACGGCGGCTCAAAGTTGGAGTGCCCATAGTCTGTGTGGGACATGGGGTTGGGGACTGACCGGGCAGCTACAATCACCAGCGTGTGTGTAGGCTCATGCATGTGACAGACAGAACCTGAGCCTGTACTGGCTGGCACATGCAAAAATCAGGTCTGGGGTCCGCCCAGGCGAGGTGTCCTGGAGGACTCCCAAACTCCAGCCCCAGGAGGATCAGGGGACACATGGTCCGATCTTAGAATGCATGTTTACATGTAAACATTGTAAAAAAAAAAAAAAAAGTTTGGCAGACAGGGAGACCCTCTCCCAAGCCCAGACACAGGAGAAAAGGAAGGAAAGAAAAGGAAAATTGGAAGCATTCATTGCACCCATGCCAATGACCGTTCCCAACATATAGTCAGTGGTCCTCATGGGCATGCATCCTTGTCAACTAGGTAAATATCACAGAAAATAGAAAATTAAACTCATAAAAATGGCTAAGATGACAAAAACTTGTTTGGCTAACCCACAAACTTGAACAGTTTGTTTCATTCTGCCTTAAAATTTTAGGAATTGGGTCCAGCACAACAACCTAGTGGCTAAATCCTCCCCTTGTATGTGCCAGGATCCCATATGGCACCTGTTCATATTTTGATGGCTACACTTCTCATCCAGCTCCCTGCTTGTGGCCTGGGAAAGCAGCAGAAGACAGACCAAAGCCTTGGAACCCTGCAACTGCATGGGAAACCACAAAGAAGCTCCTGGCTCCTGGTTCAGATGGGCTCAGCTCTGGCCACTTCTATCACTTGGGGAACGAAACAATGGTTAGAAGATCTTTCTGTGTCTCCTTGCAGTTCTGCAGCATCTCACTTGGGTGCCACTCGTGTCCCGGCTGCTGTACTTCAACTGAGCTCTCTGATGTGGCCTTGGGATGCTGCAACCACGTGAGAGACCTGGAGGAAGCCACTGGCTCCCATTGAGATCAGCTCTGGCCATTTTGAGATTGAACCATGGATGGAAGACCTTCTCAGTCTAGCTTTCCTTCTCTCTGTTAAAATATTTTTGCCTCTCAAATAAAACTAAATAATCTTTAAAATTTTAAGACCTGGTTACCATTTATGCCTAATCTTATTTTGATAATAGGTAAAATATTTACATAATCTAAAACACAACATTCCTAAAATAGGTATACTCATAAAACTTTACCTGTTCTAATCTTCTGTCACCAACCCACAATAAGCATCAATTTCGGCTTTGGTTGGTGTCCCTGTGTTTTCAGAAGCCAGTAAATATCTATAAACACCCTTCACCCGAGCTCAGAGGCAGCAACCACCAGGTACTAAAGAAAACCCCGGGGTGGCACAGTGGCGTAGCAGGCCTGTGGCTCTGGCATCCCACATGGGCACTGGCTCACACCGGGTGCTCCATTTCAGACCCCACTCCCTGTTGTGTGGCCTGGGAAACAACAGAGGATGGACCAAGTCCCTGGGCCCTACACTCTGACGCAAGGGCCAGAAGAAGTTCCCGGTTCGGGACTGGCTCAGCCCTGACCATGGCAGTCATTTGGGTCATGAACCAGGAGATGGAAGAGCTCCCTTCTTCCCTCTCTCTTTCAAGAAAAATAAATTCTTTCAAGAAAAATAAATAGATCCTAAAAAAAAAGAGAGAGAGAGGAAAAAATCCACTTTTGAAGAATACACCTACTTCAATATATAAGCTTTTTGGAGGCTTCATATCCTGCGTGATGTCCAGGCCTTCATCTCCTCCCAGAGTCCTCATGTAAGTAGCAAGGGATTTTTTATACTGACTAAACCACTCCGTCTGTAAAAACAAGATGGGATTGGACAAAGTTAAATTAAGTTGTGTGCAAATTATACACTCAGCCTTTCAAAACCAGCACCTGTGTCAATATGCACCATTCTTGCAATCATTACAGACACGCAGGATCTAGGCACTGATCTGCACACTCAACAAAATGGACCAAAAATCTCTACTCTCACAGCTTACAACCTGACTTACTAAGCATAACCCTAAGGAAACAGATCATGGCCAGAAACACATCATGAAAATAAAACTAATACAGAAGTATAAACTCCAGCTACAGACTAATAGTACAGCAAGTGTCCCAGCCCGAACCCCACAGGAGGCTGGGCTCTCCTGAGTGACAAAGGCGGCTGTACATAGATAGAGCACTGAGAATAGGGACAGCATTTCATAAATGGAACGGTATCACTTCAACATCAACATTCAAAATGAACCTTGACTCCTCCATCACCCACAAGAAAATTCAACACTGTAAATCTACACAAGGTGAAGTGCAGCACTAACACAGGGTGAGGAGCCATCAGGATATTCATGAAATCCTCGGTGGACTGCCACAGACTCACCAAATCTCAAGTCCCACCCCAGGTGCCTTGGCAGTGCCAGATTAAACGATTCTGGATATGCCTTCCCTAAGACTACCCTGGAAAATTACCTTAGTAACATTAGGGCAGACAATGATTTCTCCAATTGGGTCCAAAACAAAACAAACATCCTCACTACACAGGGAAAAATTAGACTGGCCACATTAATAATAACAACCTACCAATAACTTTGTTTCCTACAAGATGCCATTAAGAAAATGGAAAGTCAAAAGCCATAAAGGTGCAAAATGTACGTATATAATCGACAAAGGGCAGAAAGCTGGATATGCTCGAGAACGGAACATTCCCCATTCTGGAGTTTCAGATGGGGATATGCTCTGAAACCCAAACCTTCCAGGTGTCACATCACTGCTCACAAGCTTCGAGATTTCAGTACCTGGTTGGGAACACGCAATCAAGGGTAAGAACAAGACTCAAATGTGCACCAGTCGCTGACTAGCTGAAATGTGCTAAAAAATTAGACTTGAACAGGAATTTAGAAAAAAAGATATGCAAATCATCAAAAGAGAGGTATGCTTAGAACCACTGATCACAGGAAAATAAAACCAAAATGAGGAATCATCGTATGCCAAGGGATGTGTGAAAGACTGGCAAATGCACATATCGGGCAAGGACTATCACACGACCGGTGGGAGTGTAAAGGATACGGCCCTTGGAAAAATCACTGGGCAGAATGAACTAAAAATACACACCCTCTGTAAATCAAACCGACTTCACTTTCCAGGGTACACGTGTACTGCCTGGAGAAGTTCTGGCTGTCACACACAGGGCACAGAAGAGCTGCTCTAATGAGGAGAGCCCAGAGGGATTGCTCAACACCCTCCAAAGCAACAGGGCAGCCTCACATGTCAACAGCCTTGAAGTTAAACCCCTAGACCTGAGGTAGCCATTCAGTGCAGTGACAAGGAGGCGACTTGGGAAGCCGTACCCCATATCAGCATGCTCAGGTTCAAGTTCCAGCTCCACTCCAAGCCCCACATTCCTGCTACTGAACCTATGAAGGCAGCCAGTGACGGCTCGAGGACATGAGTCACTGCCTCTCCTGTGGGAGATGCAAACTGAACTCTAGGCTCCTGGCTCCAGCACAATTCTGCTCTAGGCTCCTGGCTCTAGCACAATCCAGCTCTAGGCTCCTGGCTTCGGCATGGACAAGCCCAGCTCTAGGCTCCCGGCTCCAGCACAACCCAGCTTTAGCTGTGGGGACCAGAGAAATGATCTCCACCTGCAACCTTTCCTTCAGACAAAATGAAAATAGGGCCCGGCGCGGTGGCGCAAGTGGTTAAAGGTCCTCGCCTTGCACGCCCGGGATCCCATATGGGCGCCGGTTCTAATCCCGGCAGCCCCGCTTCCCTTCCAGCTCCCTGCCTGTGGCCTGGGAAAGCAGTCGAGGACAGCCCAAAGCTTTGGGAACCTGCACCCGCGTGGGAGACCCGGAAGAGGCTCCTGGCTTCGGATCGGCATAGTATCGACCCGTTGCGCTCACTTGGGGAGTGAATCATCGGACGGAAGATGTTCCTCTCTGTCTCTCCTCTCTGTATATCTGCCTTTCCAACAAAATGAAAATAAATAAAACTTCCTAAAATAAAGCTTAAGCTGAAATAATACCAATGATAAATTATAGTCTTTTTTTTTTTTAAAGATTTATTTATTTATTTATTGGAAAGTCAGATACACAGAGAGGAGAGAGAGAGGAAGATCTTCTGTCTGATGACTCACTCCCCAAGTGGCTGCGACAGCTGGAGCTGCACCAATCTGAAGCCAGGATCCAGGAACTTCTTCCAGGTCTCCCACACAGGTGCAGGGTCCCAAAGCCTTGGGCCATCCTGGATTGCTTTCCCAGGCCACAAGCAGGGAGCTGGATGGGAGGTGGAGCTGCCGGGATTAGAACCAGCACCCATATGGGATCCCAGCGTGTGCAAGGTGAGGACTTCAGCCGCTAGGCCACGCCGCCAGGCCCTGATAAATTATAGTCTATAACTCAACTAGAATAATAAAACCACAACTACATCAACAGAACAGAATCTCAAAAATATGAAGCTTAGTGAAATTACTGACAAAAGAACTCTAGGAATCCATATATGTAAAACTCAATAATGACCAATATTAAATTGCAGTGTTCAGGGATGCATCCTTACACTGCAAAATATTTTAAAAAGCAATGAGATGGGGGCCCAGTGCAGTGGCGCAGTGGTTAAGGTCCTCGCCTTGCACGCCCAGGATCCCATATGGGCGCCAGTTCTAATGCCAGTGGCCCCACTTCCCATCCAGCTCCCCGCTTGTGGCCTGGGAAAGCATTTGAGGACGGGATAAGTTCCTGGCTCCTGGCTTCAAACTGGCGCAGCATTGGCCGTTGAGGTCACTTGGGGAGTGAATCATCAGACAGAAGATCTTCCTCTGTCTCTCCTCCTCTCTGTATATCTGACTTTTCAATAAATAAATAAACCTTAAAAAAAAAAGATGGACACACAGCTGTGGGGCACGTCTACTCTGTGGGCAGTAGAGGGGAAAATGGTAGGTCCCTGGGAACTCTCATCATTAAGCTGTGTATTCTTCTGTACGTGTATACATCTATGCATCTGTGAAATTTCGTAACACTAAGGCTTAAAATCCCTCAAAAAAGTTAAAAGGGTTAAAGGTGTGGTGAGTATCCCCCATCTCTCTGGCTTCCTCCCCAGCTCTGTGGCTCCCGCCAGAGCCCAGCAGCCGCGGTGCCTTCCTTCCTCCTGAGCCATTTGACTTCTCTGCAATCACCTGATTCAATGACTGCACACAGATTTCATTACAAATATGAATCTGTACTGTTGATTACACAAACATCTGTATATACACACGTTTTGTAGAAATCCCCAAATGAAATACCTTTAATTCCACTAACAGGTGACCACAAGTATAAGAGACTATCCGTCAACAATAGTGTTCCACATAGCATTTAGAATCTCACCGCATACTACCCATCACGGTACATAATAAACAAACATGGGCAAAAATTGTTGAAAAACACACCAAAAACAAAGAGAAATGCCACTAAATCCTGTTACAGAACAGTGCCACAACACTAACTTACTTCTTCAGACGACATGTGAAACCGCAGGGTGTTGGGCAAGACGCTGCCGTACTCCCACCTGAGCGCTCTGATCCGAAGCAACCGGTCATACCTAGGATGTTGGCACATGTCAGAGGATGTGGGAACGAAGGGATAAGACAGCTGTTCTGAGGGAGAGGCCAGACTCCTCATGCAAACCAACCAAGTGAGAGAATGAGCACGTGGGGACTGAACCGATGCCAGGAAACCAGCGAAGCCAACAGCTTCCACTGGACTGACCTCGAGGCCAGCGGTCCCAACAGAAAAAGGATGCAGATGCAAAGGACTCATTTCTTGAAGAAATAACAAACTACTAAATACACCAAAAGATTTGGTGGTGAAGTGCCATGATGGCTGCAAAACAAAACACAATGGTGACCCATGAAACTCCTCACTCTATGGGATAAAACACGGTGAACCCTGAAAGACTGTTCACTCTACGAGAGGAAACACGGTGAACCACAAAACTGCTAACTCTGCGGGATACGATGGGTCCATGTGGTACATGCTATTATAGTACACACCTTACTTTCCCAACAATGCCATCTTGCGCAAACGTTTTTCTTCCAGAAAAAAAGAATTTAAAACTGTTACAAAGATGACTCAACCTTCCCATTACCCATTTGAACAGCTGAATTGGGAAGCAACAGTGAAAACCCTCCACTACTCCTTGCCACCCCAAATCAAACCGAGGGCACTTACAGGTAGGCTAAGGTGCAACGTCTGTTTCTTAACAAACAGCAGTGTCGAAATTTGATGGTTGGGATCAAATCACTTCGGCCACCTGACTTTGCTTCAGTCCTGTGAGGAGCATTTATTTAAACAACAACAACACAGAGTACATCTGAGTGTAAGTGAAAATTCCAAAGCCAATTTATATATTTTTATCAAATTATGGTTAGTAGTTATCATAAGCAAACATAAGCAGAGAATAAATACTTCCACAAAAGGATTTTACTGACATCAGAAGATGAGAAGCGGGGGCCAGCACTGTGGCTTAGCACGCTGGGCTTCCTCCTGTGACACCCAGCATCCTGTGTGGGCACTGCTTCGTGTGCCAGCTGTTCCAGCTCCAATCAGATCCCCGGCTGTGGCTGAGTGGGGAGGACAGCAGAGCACGGCTCAGGTCCTCAGGCCCAGCACCACGTGGACCCCCAGCTCTGGATCGGGCAGTGAGGCAGCACAGACCATCTTGCTCTCCTTGACTCTCCTCCACTCTGCCATGTACACAGCAGCGAGGATGTTTTGTTTTTTTTAAAGATTTATTTATATTTGTTGGAAAGTCAGACATATAGAGAGGAGGAGAGACAGGAAGATTTTCCATCCGTTAATTCACTCCCCAAGTGGCCGCAATGACCCAAGCTGAGCTGAGCCGATCCGAAGCCAGGAACCAAGAGCTTCATCCAAGTCTCCCACGTAGGTGCAGAAACCCAAGGCTCTGGGCCATCCTCAACTGCTTTCCCAGGCCCCAGGCAGGGAGCTGGATGGGAAGTGGGGCATCAGGATTGGAACTGGCATGCATATGGGATCCTGGCGCTTACAAGGTGAGGACTTGAGCCACTAGACTATTGCACCAGGCCCAGTCAGGTTGATTTTTGAAGACACTGACATGCCACCAGCTGCCCCACACCTGAGGTCCCTCTGCCACTTGCCAAGCTCCATCACACTGGTCTCTGAGTATCCTGCCCCCTTCATGACGTAGGACCTTTGTATGCACCATCCCCTCTGCCTACACTGCTTTCCTCCCACAATCCACTTCACTTTCTGTATTTGTTCATATCACATATCTTTCAGATAGGCTTTAACTTCCTCCAAACCGTAACAGTCAAACAAATATTTACTGGAACACCCACCACATGTAAACCACTGTTAAGTCCAACAGATACAGTACTCATCAGAAAACCCTTCTAGACCACAGTAATGTGCGCACGCCTGGAGCTGAGCAGATCCAGTTTACTGAACAGATTTCAACATCTTATTTCTTCAGTGGTTTTAAAACATTATTCTTGCTATAACTTACACATCAGACTGGTTTTGTTCGTACAAAATCTTCATCTCTTCCAGAACTTGTCTGATTCCATCCTCCTGAAACATAAACATACAAATATATAATTAAAAAACATATAAGCATAAAACACTGAAACACATTCATCAAGTCTTGTCATTCAGACACAAGGGGTGAAGTATCAAAAAACTGATGAAAGAGAAACATCAAACACAACGGGATAATTATTTTAAGAAGCAATTTAGGGGGCCCGGCGCGATAGCGTAGTGGTTAAAGTCCTCTCTTTGCACGCACCAGGATCCCACATGGGAGCCAGTTCGAATCCTGGTGGCCCCACTTGCCATCTAGCTCTCTGCCTGTGGCCTGGGAAAGCAGTCGAGGACGGCCCAAAGCCTAGGGACCCTGCACCCGTGTGGGAGACCTGGAAGAAGTTCCTGGTTCCTGGCTTCAGATCAGCGCAGCTCCATTGTGGCCATTTGGGGAGCGAACTATCAGAAGGAAGATCTTCCTCTGTCTCTCCTCCTCTCTGTATATCTGACTTTCCAATAAGAACAATAAAATAAATCTTTCATAAAACAAACAGTAAAGGTGAGCTCCTCAGGACGTGATCAGACTGAACTAGCTCTTCAGGACATGACCCTCAAGACTGATCCCTGCTGACCCTGACTCCTGCTGTCCCGACGCCAAACCAACTGGGCTCCAAGCCCTCAGAGCTCATGAGCCAAAAGATGACGTTTTCTTTACAGAGATGGTCTGTCTCAAGCTATTCTGTTACGGTCTGCAGTGCTCTACCAGCTTCCAAGATGCTTTGTGAGTGATGCCCTAAACGCTGCCAGGCTGCTAACCTACACACCCTGCTTTGTCCTTGCTGCTGGAGTGCCACACTTCTCTAGGGCCTTGGCTTCCTTCTGGGGCAGGGCGGCCCCTCTTCTTGGGTGTCCCTCCTCAGGACCACCCACCCCTGTGCTCCCGGGCCCCCACAAGGTGGCTACCCTATTTCAGAGGGAGGAAGAGGTCCGTGCAAGCGCCTCCAGCACTCCTCACTGGGCGACACCCCTCACCCTCCATCACCCTTGCAGGTACAGCTGGAGGGAGAAGAGGCAGGTGGCAAAGGAATGTGGCCGACAACAGTCAGGCCCGGACGAGGCTGCCAGGCGTTGAGACCCTGACCAGCGGACGCGGTCGTCGGGCTGCAGGACAGCCACCTGCCCCGGGAGGCCCCGAAGCCGCCCCCAGCCGGCCGCCCGGCTCCCGGAGACAGCGCACCGGGAGACCGGGGTATCTCACCAACGCCACGGCCCCCGGCCCCCCGGCCAGCCGCTCCGCCGGACTGACCCCCGGGTAGTCACCCCAGCCGGCCGCCCGGCTCCCAAGTCCCGCACCTGGATGCCGGGGTGTCCCACCAACGCCACGACACCACGGCCCCCCCCCAGGCAGTCGCCCCCTGCCAGCCGCCCGGCCGCACTCCCGGTACCACACCTGGCTACCACGGCACGGGGCATCCAGGCACCGACGCGTCCTCTTCCCTCTCGCCGGCCGAGCGGGAGCCGACCCGGGACGAGAGGGAAGAGCGCCGCGGGCCGGCCTCCCCACCCGGGGCGACACCCCGCTCCCCGTCTCCTCTCGCTCACGTTGAAGGCCGGCAGCTGTCCCTCAGGGGCGCGGTGCAGCTCGCGGACCAACTCTAAGGCCTTTTCGCAGTACATGGCGGCTCGCACGGGCCCCGGCCCCGCAGGAACCGCCGCCTCCAACGGCCGCCGCCTCAGCCGCCCGACGCCGAGTCGAGCCTTGGCGCCAGAGGCCCGGCCAATGGGAGCCCCGCTACGGCGGCCGGCCGGGGACAGTTGTCTCCGCGCGTAGCCGCGTGCGCAGACCGGCCGGCTCGAGTCCTTCCGCCCGACTGCGTCGGGCTGAGGGGGAGGGGGCGCCGGGGTCTGGCGGAACGGAAGGGGACGCCGGGGTCTCGCTGAGGGGGAGGGGGCGCCGGGATCTGGCTGAGGGAGAGGGGGACGCCGGGGTCTCGCTGAGGGGGAGGGGGCGCCGGGGTCTCGCTGAGGGGGAGGGGGGCGCCGGGGTCTCGCTGAGGGGGAGGGGGCGCCGGGGTCTCGCTGAGGGGAGGGGCGCCGGGTCTCGCTGAGGGCGAGGGGGCGCCGGGGTCTCGCTGAGGGGGAGGGGGCGCCGGGGTCTCGCTGAGGGGGAGGGGGCGCCGGGGTCTCGCTGAGGGGGAGGGGCGCCGGGGTCTCGCTGAGGGGGAGGGGGCGCCGGGGTCTCGCCGAGGGGAGGGGACGCCGGGTCGCTGAGGGGAGGGACGCCGGGGTCTCGCTGAGGGGGAGGGGGACGCCGGGGTCTCGCTGAGGGCGAGGGGGCGCCGGGGTCTCGCTGAGGGGGAGGGGGCACCGGGGTCTCGCTGAGGGGGAAGGGGACGCTGGGGTCTCGCTGAGGGGGAGGGGGCGCCGGGGTCTCGCTGAGGGGGAGGGGGACGCCGGGGTCTCGCTGAGGGGGAGGGGGCGCCGGGGACTCTTCCTCGCCAGGTGAGCCATGCTCTCCTCCCCTGGCGGCTGGCAGGCTACGAACCCATGCCCACCCACCCCCGACCCCCCCCCACATCCTTTTCAGCTTGCTTCCATTCCTTTTTATTTATTTTTTTTTTTCTAAAGCTTTAAGGAGCCAGGAGCTTCCTCCAGGTCTCCCACACGGATGCAGGGTCCCAAGGCTTTGGGCCGTTCTCCACTGCTTTTCCAGACCGCAGTGAGCCTCTAGCCTCTAACCACAACGTCCCCGTTCTTTTTTTCTTTTTCTTTTTTTTTTTTTTTAAGATTTGTTTAGTTATTGGAAAGTCAGATATACAGAGAGGAGGAGAGACAAAGGAGGATCTTCCATCCGATGATTCACTCCCGAAGTGACCTCAACAGCCAATGCTATGCCAATCCGAAGCCAAGAACCAGGAACCTCCTCCGGGTCTCCCACGCAGGTGCAGGGTCCCAAAGCTTTGGGCCGTCCTTGACTGCTTTCCCAGGCCACAAGCAGGGAGCTGGATGGGAAGTGGAGCAGCTGGGATTAGAACCGGCGCCTATATGGGATCCTGGCGTGTTCAAGGCGAGGACTTTAGCCACTAGGCCACGCTGCCGGCCCGTGTTTTTTGTTTTTAGTATTAAAGTGAAAGGGCCTTTTATTGGGCACCTCCTGGATGTTAGAGTATGTGACATTGATAACTTATAATTCTCAATTATCTCTAATGGTGGTTATTAAGGAAACTTGAAGGTCCCCAACTAACCCTGAAGCAGTTAGGCGAGGTATCTAGGCTAGCCATTTTCAGTTCCACAATACTTCTCTGACTCATGCAGTCATTTGAAAACCTTTAAAAATTTAAGAAGGGAAGGGGAAAGTCACAGATGAACGTGAATTCAATCACCATTTTCTTAGAAAGAAGATGATGGAAATTTTTCTCACAGATAAACGAACATGCAATTAGAAATAATTTATATCGTCGTTATGCTTGTTTTGGAAAAGCAGTATTTCAGAAAAACAATATTGGGTTTGTTTGGTCTGACCCTAGAAAATGCACTATTCTGGTGGGAGAGCCCAGGTGAGTCTGAAGCTGGAAGCTCTGCTCCCCGCCGCGTGGCACCTGCTGGGAGAACCCAGGCTGAGCCAGGCTCAATGCATGGGATCCTGGCTCCGGCCACCACTGTCAGAAGGTGGCTAGATCCTGAGCTTGTCCCAGACCGAGCCCGTGGGCCCTAGGATCTTGGGAGTGTGGGCTTCCAGGGAGTCTGAGAGATGGTACTAGGGATCAGCAAGGACCCTAGGGATCAGGTCCAGGTGAGGGATGGCTTCTCTAGATCTTCCACAGACAAGGCCAGTCTACCTGACGGTCTACAACATGGAGCCCACCAGAGTGTCAGAAAAGGGAATGAGTTTTGTGAGACTGGACCATGAAGTCAATAAATACTTGAGAGAATTAGATCTGGGGGTAGAGTCTGCAGGGCAATATGTGGGCTCACCCATGTGAACAATAATCTCTGTTGGCACGCACAAGAACTATGGCTGGGAATAGACCTTGTTGGGGAGCTAAGGGGACGTCCCGGCTCGGCCAGAATTCCCATTGGTGAACGCAAGTGCCAGAATTGGTGCATTGTCCTGGGCTGAACATGGCTTCAGTCTCCCTCGGCATGGGTGTGGCCTGGGTCTAGGGAGGGCCAGACTGGGCTAGACTCCCGGACCAACTGGTACTCATGAGAGGGTGAGTATAGAACGGACTGGGCTAGGTCTTGGCTCCTGTTGAACCATATGAGAACTGTGTCTGGGTTCGGACAGGTGTTGCTAGGCTGCAATACCTAACAGTAAGAACCAGAAAGGGTATGGGCCAACTGGGCAAGGACATCATCCTCACCAGGACAACAGGTGGACAAAGTCAGCCTGGGCCAAGGACCCACTGGTATGTACAAGATCTGCCACTGGAAGGAGATAGGATAGAAGAGCTTGGTGAACTCCTTTGTCAGGTTGCAGTCCCTGCAGGTAAGTGTAAGAACTAAGGCAAAAAGCACCCCAACCCAGAGCAGATTACAATACCCAATGGCATACATGTGGGTCAGGTCAGGCGCCAGGCCAGGCCAGGCTAGTTCATAACATTCACTGCCAGATAGGAGAACCAGGATAGGGTGCAGGAGGGGCCGAGTCGGGCCGCAACAGCAGCCAGTGCACACTTGAGCCAGGACTAGGGCTGACTCTGCAGCTGAAATACCCACTGGTGGATGCTGAGGAAAGATGAACTATGTCAGTCGAGGTGGTGGGTGTCAGGTCCATGAGCCTCACGGATGGGGAGCCAGAAGGACCCTGGGTCTCCTAGCCCAGGTTCTAGGGCCCATCTACATGGTGGGTATCAGGTCCATGAGCCCCAGAGGTGGGGGGTCTGGCAGGTCCTGGGTCACATGACCCAGGGCCTCATGCCCACCTGTGTGGTGGGTGCTTGATCCGTGAGCTCCAGATTAACAGGCTCACCTGAGTGGTGGGTATCAGGTCCATGAGCCCCGGGGTTGGTGGGAGGTATCCAGCAGGTCCTGGGTCACATGCCCAGGGCTGTGGACCCACCTGCAAGGTGGTCACTGGATCTGTGAGCCAAAGTGTGTGTGGGGGGGTCTGGCATGACCCTGGTCACCTTGGTCAGGTCCATGAGCCCACCTAGGAGAACTGGTCTTCAGTGTAGAGGATGGAGTGCTAAAGGGCAGACCATGGTGCGCATGGAAAACATGGTAGCTCATGGGGGCCTGCAGAGGACATCTGGTACCAGAGCAGAGAATGGGGAACATGTGGACAACTGCCCCAGTCAAATGATGACAGCAAATATCTGCACAATAGACATTGGAAGGGATTCCTCATCCATGGACCGGTGAGATGGACAGCATTTTGAAACTATCACATCCACCTGGGCAGAACCTTCAGAACATGCGCCATTGTGACTCTGGGCTGATATTGGGTGGCCTGTCCTCGTTCTTGGATACTGGGATGGTTGGGAGGCTGGTATAGCCTATCTCCTCCCTCCCCCCAGAAATGGGAAGAAGAAATAGAAAGCTTAGAAACAACGATCACACCCACTTCTCTTTCCCACCCTGGTCAACTATGTAAACATCATCTAAAATTTTAAAAAGAGAATCAATTGAAGACAAAATGCACTGCTCTTTTGCCAGTGTAGACATAGTAGATATGTTATCTGAGAAGTGGGCATACCAACAGCCTAACTTACAAATAAGCTTCTGCATTTTCCTCTCATATTGGCTGGAAGGAGCAGCGGAGCAGGCAGCTGCAGCCAGGCCCTGCAGGGTAGGTGCAGGCCTCCCAGCAGCCACACAACGCCCCAGTTGAGTGGGTTTCTCTTTTACTGAATACCTGCTCCTACCTTGAGCCACGCTACTGGAGCATGATGTACAACCCTCCTTGCTCATCTACCATCTTACCTTTATCTATATTTTTTTATTGGAAAAGCAGATATGCAGAGGAGAGAGAGGAAACTCTTCTGTCTGTTCATTCACTCTCCAAGTGGCCACAACGGCTCGAACTGAGCCAATCCAAAGCCAGGAGCCAGGAGCCAGGAGCTGCTTCCAGGTCTCCCGCGCAAGTGCAGGGTCCCAAGGCATTGTGGCATCTTCCACTGCATTCCCAGGCCACGAGCAGAGAGCTGGATGGGAAGCGGGGTCCATGTGGAATCCCAGCACGTTCAAGGCAAGGACTTTAACCTATACGCTATCGCGCCAGGCCCTGTTTTTACTTCTTTTTAAGGCAGAATTACAGAAAGACGGAGACACAGAGGTCTTCCATCTAAGGCCTCACTCTAAACGGCTGCAAGTGGTGGGTGTGTATAGGCAGGCTGCAACCTGGAGCCTGGAGCTCTTGCAGGTCAACCACATGGATGCAGAAGCCCAGGGACCTGGGCTGTTCTCCACAGCTTTTCCGGGAGCATTAGCAGGGAGTTGGAGCAGAAGTGAAGGAGCCACTGTTGTGCCCAGATTTTGAGATCCCCAGAAATCTGCAGGAGTCTGAAGTCAGAGCAAGTGCACAAAGGCGGTTTATTCAGGCTCCCTTGGTTGAGAGAAGGTAACCCACTGGCCTTCTGAATAGTGTTTTTATTGGGGCAGTCCTCAATAGCTTGAAAAGGGGCAATTCACAATAACCTACAAGGTGAGTGGGGAAATACCACACATTCCCTACCTATCTGAATACCCCATGCCTGGCTCTTCTTGGGTCCAAGGATTGAGGTACCCACCCACTTAATTACCTGTGAGATAACCAGACTTGGGCCTTGGTTCATGAGACTTGGAACCCATTTCACAGAGGCAAGCAATGAGCCATGAACAAATGGTTGGGATTTTGATTTTGAGGTTCTGCACCAACTCCAACTGGGCCTCTTGTGGGATGCTGGCACTGAAATTGGTGGCTTCATCTTCAACTCCCAGCTTGGAGGCAAAGTTCCTTAGCAACATGAGGCTCACCTCCTCGCCAGGAAAGTGCTCACCTCTGAGTACCTTGGATGACCCAGTCACTCCTTTAGCAAATAGGAAGGTCCTGCCGTGAGCCAACTTGGGCTACACAAGATAAGGCAGGCGCCATGTGTGCCACTTAGGACTCTGGCAACACACAGACCGACGACGAATCTGCTGGTGATAACCAAGTGCAGGCTGCAGGACTGCTGGGCTCAGGGTTTTAAATTCTATCCTGCAGAGAATGCCCGGGCCTGAGCTGCAGCAGGAAATGGGGAATGAAAAACACAGGAGGCAGGATTCAGAGCAGCAGGAATCAGAGTGCGTGTGGCATGTGTGGCCAGCGGGAAGCCGTGATGCCATGCTGTGATGCTCCTGAGACCAGAGGTGGACAGGAGGCCCTGTATCCCCTCATGCATTCAGTCTTGAGTGCCATGAGGAGCCGTTCAAAGTCCTTTGAGCACACAACTGGCCAAACGTACCTAGCTTGAGTGTTCTCTTTTTCTTAACTTGCTTTTATTTATGTTCTTTTTTAGGAATGTTTGACAGCTAGTAAAATAACCCAGGTAAGAGCAGACAACAGCCTGGCCCTGGGTGGGGATGGTGCTGGAGAGAAGTGGTTGGATCCAGTATGTAAATGTCAGGAGGGATTTCAGTAGGCCGTGTGGTCTCAAGTTACAGCTGTGGGCACTGCCACTGCCGTACTTAAGGCAACACATAGAAGGAGGCTGTGGTTCATTCCATGATATACCAGCACCACCAGCGAGAAGATTCACCATGCCTAATGTTCCTTTCCTCCAGCTCTCCTTCTGCTAGTCCTCACCTTCACCATCTTCACTCCTCTCCCTTGTTCCTCTTCTCCCCACCCCGCCACCCCCGATTTCCTTTTAAATAGGATTTTGTGACTGACAGGGCCAATTTTTTTTTACAGACCTCAAGTTATTTCTAGGTTTCCAAGTTTCCACTGACATATGCTACTGCATTAAATAATTCACCATTTAAAAATTCCAGAGTGGGCCCGGCGCAATGGCTCAGATTAATTAATCCTCCATCCCCAAGCGCCAGCGCCAGCGTCCCATGTGGGTGCTGGTTCCTGCCCTGGCTGCCCCACTTCCCATCCAGCTGCCTGCCTGTGCCCTGGGAAGGCAGTGCAGGACGGCCTGAAGCCTTGGACCCTGCACTCCTGGCTTCCCATCAGCTACGCCTTTGTGGACATCTGGGGAGTGAACCAGCAGCTGGAAGATCTTTCCCTTTCTCTCTGTCTCTCCTTATCTCTGTAAACTTGCCTCTCCTAGCCAAATAAATAGATCTCACAGAAAAACTCCATGGCATGTTTTTTAATATCTGCAGATACACCAATATGAGTGCAGGCTGAGGTGCCTAGTAGATATCTTTTCACAATTTCTTTAAAAAAAAAACACACATCTATTTATTGCTTAGAAGAGACATATTTCACCAACAAAAATCAGTGGAAACTGTATCGCATGGGATTTTATGTTTTTGTTAGTTTCATCTCTTCAAAACTTTTTTCTGATTAAATTATTCAATGACTCAAGATCATACAGTAGCATTATTTTCTTCAAGAAGGTTCTTGATTTTCTTGTTTCATTTCTTCTGCAACACACTAGTCATTCAGTAGCATGTTATTTAACTTCATGGTGTTGTAAATTTCTATTTTTTTTCTGATGTTGATTTTGTTTTGTGGCTTTTCATTTAAGGAGATGTATGGTAGCTGTGTAATGGAGACCGTCATATCTAGTAACATGTTATTTAACTTCATAGCATTGTAAATTTCTATTTTTCATCCTATTGTTGATTTTGTATTGTGACTTTTCATTTAAGGGGATGTACAGTAACTGTGAAATGGAGACTAACATCCAGATGTGAGGACACAATATATTATGCATCTCTATTTCCAGACAAAGAAGGACTTACAATGAAACGGCTTACAATATCTTGACAATAGGATGCTGGGCTCTCTGCCATTGTCCATCCCCGCAATGACGGACATATGACTGAGCATGAAGAACTATATGTTAGTAACGATATAGGAAATCTCGGTGATCTTTTCACAATTTCCAAGTATCTTTATAAAACTCCTGCAGGACACTCCTGCACTCCTGAGGGCATTGTCATTATCAGCAGTTGCCAACAATTTCCGAACTGACAAAACTTTATATTACTGAAGTTGCTTTGAAATAAGCAAAGCAGCTCTGCCGCCCGTCATCTGTGAAGTGGAAAGCCAAAGCTGTGACACCCAATGTCTGACACCGTCCCCTTCTCTCAGGATGGACTGTCAGTATGAATTTGGGCTCCACGAGGGAGAGCTTTCCTCTCCGAAGGATTTCCCACATTCAGCCAGTTCCCCTGGCTTTATAAAAGTCTGAATTCTAATGCATATTTCTAGAGAGCAGGTTTTTTTTTTTCACTTACTCAGCCCGAAAGTACATCTAGATACTTGGGTCTGAGGATAGGTTAATTACTTTTATTGTTGCGCATGTGCAACAATAAAATCCTACTAGAGAAGTAGTCACTGTGGTTTGTTCCTTATTCTTTTTTGCTCAGATCACCCCCTGCATCAACATTCTCCAGCTCCGCACAGCCTGCGAGCCCCGTTCCTCAGGCTGCCCGGCCCGTGACGCGAGGACGCGCGGCTTCGGCCGCCCTCTTCCAGCATGGCTGCGGCCCGGCGCGCCGGATGCGGGTCGCGGGCGGGGCGGGGCGGGGTCTGGCCGCGGCGCCTGGCGCTCATTGGCCTGGCCGGCGCCCGGACACGGGGCTGCGGGCGCAGTGGGGTGGGGCTTGGCCTCGGCGCCGGGAGCTCATTGGCCTGCCTGGCGTCCGGGCCGCGGGGCAGCGGGCGGGGCGGGGCCTGGACGCAGTGCAGGGCGCTTATTGGCCTGGCCGGCGCCCCGGACTCGGGCCGCGGGCGGAGTGGGGTGGGGTCTGGCCGCGGCGCCGGGCGCTGATTGGCTGCCGGCCCGGCCGGCGCAGGGCCGTCGCCGGCGCCGCGGCCTGCGCTGCGATGTGAGGGCTGCAGGCTGCCGGGTGCCCGCGGCTGCGGCGAGGCCGGCGGAGGCGGGCGGGCGCCGTGGGCGGCGGGATGAGGAAGCGGACCGAGCCCGTCGCCTTGGAGCATGAGCGCTGCGCCGCCGCGGCGCTGGACGCCGACAGCCGCCTGAAGCCGACTCCGCGCTTGGCGGGCCAGGGGCCGGCGGAGCCGCGCAGCGCAGCCGACGCGGGCATGAAGCGGGCGCTGGGCAGGTGAGCCGCCGCGCGGGGTGCGCAGGGGCGCCGGCTCGGACCCGGTGTCCCCGTCCCCAGTGTCCCCGTCCCCATCCCACTCGGACCCGGTGTCCCCGTCCCCATCCCACTCGGACTCGGTGTCCTCGTCCCCATCCCGCTGTCCCCAGTGTCCTCATCTCTAGTGTCCCCGTCCTCGGTGTCCTCGTCCCCAGTGTCCCTGTCCCCATCCCGCTCGGACTCGATGTCCTCGTCCCCATCCCGTTGTCCGCAGTGTCCTCATCCCCAGTGTCCCCGTCCCATCCCTCTCGCACCGGGTCCCATCCCTTGGCTCCTCCATCCCTTCCCCTCCGCGCGTCCTCGGTGCCCCCTGCGGGGCCCTTACGCTCTCCCTCCCCTGGCCCCGGTCAGCAGCGTGACCCCCTTCCCGAGTAAATGCAGGGGCCCCGAGTCATGACCCCACGAGCCTCCCCAGTGTGTGGGTTCAGGGTTCCCTGGGCGGAGGGGTCTGTGGTTTGGTTCTGTCTGAGGACCCCCGCGCTGGGCCGCCGTGTGCGGAGCTGTCCACCCGGGCTGGCCGCTGGACCTGCAGGCCAGAGTCGGGCGCGGACCACCTGCGTGGGCTGAGGTTGCTGAAGGATGCGCCGCCTGCATCCCGGCCGCAGGAGGAGAGCACCTGTGTTCGCAGCCCAGTGGCTGGGCGCCCGAAGCCTTGTGGGCATCCCTGTGGACCTCTGGAGGCGTGTGTGTCTGCGTGTGTTTGAAGTGTTTTTCCTGGGGAAGGACAGGAGTGTTGTTATGTAAAGCTGACTTCAAAACTGAGCCAAGAGCGTATTTCGCAGGGACAGGCGTCCTCTCTCCCTGCCTGCTGGTTTCTTGTGTATCTGGCTGTTTGTGGAAGCTTAGATAGTCCCAGGGCTGTTGCAAGAAGTTCTGTGAAGTGTTTACAAGGATTGTAGTGGAGTCTTTGGGGTCAGCTGGAATGCTGTCCGTGGACACATCACTTCCTTGCAAAATGTATACTCACTGTGTTTTCAACCTGACTGCTTCGGAGTTACAGCTGGAGCAGCCCTGGAATGGGAGTGGGCTGTCGGTGCTGGCCTGAGGTGGGGTGGTTTTGGTGTGTGTATCTCTGAAGCGTGGTAGTGACTCCTAGGTGTGTGTTTTTAGGGAGCTGGCTGCTTCTGGCTGTGGGGAGGTTTGTCTGCCTTCCGAACTCGTGGTTAGCTCTCATGTGCTTTTACTGACAGGCCTGGCATAGGTCCTAGATCAGTCAGAAAGTTCTTTGGGGAAAAAAAAAATCCAATTGTTATGCACAGTGATCTTTGATGCTGACCTGGCACGTTCCTGAAAGTGTGCGCTGTATTAAAAGGATGTGACTAATTTGATGTGAAACAATCAAGATATGCACGTATCCTTTGGATAAGTAAATAAAAGGGTATGAGGGAACTCAGGCCAGTCACAGGAGAGGAAGGCTGAATTTGTGTTGGGCCAGCCCTGGGCACAGCGCTGTGAACCTGCATCCCCGGCCTTCCCTGCAGATGCTCACACAGAGCATCCTGTGTTGCTGTGAGCGGCAGGTGCCCTCCATGCTGGGGATGCTGCAACCTGCGCCGCCTGCTGTTTTGGCTGACTCCCAGCTGCCCTTGCCCACCCTGCCAGTCTCCAGTACTCACTGCTCTAAATCCAGATGGACTTTCTAAAAGTTCTGTTTAACGTTTGTGTGTTGATTTGAAAGGCATGGTTAGAGAAAGAAGAGCTTCCATCCACTTGTTTACTCCACATACGACTGCACGCTAGGGTTGGGCCATTTTGTGCTGCTTTCCCAGGCGTTGGCATCTGGAAGCTGGATCTGCAGTAGAGCACCCGGGAGTCAAACCTGATGCCCACTTGGGATCTGCCAGTGTTGCAAATGACAGGCTAACCCGCTGTGCTACCATGCCTGCCCTCAGACTGACCTAACTTCTGGGTAGTTTTTTTTTTTTTTAACTTTTTCAGATTTATTTGTTATAGAGAAGTGGGAAAAGAGGAGGGAAGAGAGAATGAAAGTTGCTCTGTTCCCTAATGCATTTTTGAAGTGCCTGCAGCAGCCACGACTGAATCAGGCAGGAACCAGGGTCTCTCGTGGCCGGGTGCTGTCACCTGCCTCCCATGGTGTGTGTCAGTGGAAGCTGGCCTCAGGAAAACCCATTCTGGTCTTGAGCCCAGGCACTCCAGCTTGGCATGCGAGCACCACAGTGAGGTCTTACAGCTGCCCTGGTCTACCCCACTGTCCGTGCATTTTCCTGCAGCAAAGCTCTGCTGGGACGTCACCGCTCAGAGACGTCCCAACCTCTGAACCCTGTCTGCATTGTCACTCACCTGACCAAGGACCAACGTCCTTGTGTTCCGGCTGTCCCTGTTCCACAGAGCAGCCTGAGAGTGGGGTGTTGCCTTCTCCATCTCTGTGCCTCCAATGTGTGACGACGGGGTCTCTGCACCTCCGGTGCCGGATGGGAGACGCTCGCCAAGTGAGTGAACACTGTGGAGTCCATTGCTGGGCGCAGGATGGTGGGCGGGGGTCAGTGGAGGTAAAGCCAGATTCCAAGGAGGCTGGCAGTGATTGGCACTCCTATTGTCTGCCACCCCCACCTTTACTAATGTGTGTGACTCCACATTCTGATCTGATTCATGAAAATGGCATTTGTAAGTGCTTTGTATTACTTGCTGGGTGGCATTTCTGCGTGTTCTGTAAGCCTACTGTGTAGCTTACAATCAGCTCTGTCTCCTGTGACTCACCTTTAATCCTGTTTATTTTGGGCATTTTCATATAGACAAGACAGTGTAATCAATCTCCAGATGTTTGCCACAGTTTCGTTTCAACAGTTTTCCTGTTTAGCACATCGTGAATTGTTCTATACCTCCTACTCTTTACTCTTACAGAGTTGGGGACTGGAATATTTTCATACGAAGTATTTCATTCATAACCACTCCACATGGTAGTTGGAGTAAATAAGGGTTTATTGAATATGTAACTGTGATGCTGTTTATCTGTATCAAAGTCTTTCTTTGCAATTGGTTTGTTGCAAAATTTTCTACATTTTTAAAGTTTATTCCTGATGAGTTTCTCTCTCTTTCTTTTTTCTGTTATTGAGAATAGGATCCTTGGATTCTTTGTTGCTGCATATTCTTAACTAGATGTGCACATTAATTTTGTAGCCAGCAACACTAACTATTGTTTCCAGTAGTTTTTGAAGTTGATTTTCTGGAGTTTTCCAGGTATACACTATCATGTCACTATGAACACTCATTTGCCTCTTGGTTTCTAATTTTTCTGTCTTTTCTGATTGTATTGCATTTCCAGAACATCTTTGACTAGTTCTTTTGTTTCTGCTGTTAAGTCTCATACTGGTTATTTTGTTTTACAAGGAATGTGTTGCTGGTAATTTAATTTTTGTTTTTATTTGAGAAGCAAAGAAAATGAGAGACAAATAGAGCAAATTTCCATCCACTGGTTCACTCCCTAAATGTGCAGTAGCTAGAGGCAGGAACACATCCAGGTCTCCCCACAAGGGACAGGCACCAAATTCCCTGAGCCATCACTGCTGCCTCCAGGAGCCCGTGTAGTCAGGAAGCTGGAGGCTGGAGGAGGAGCCAAGTATCAAAGCCAGACATTCTAAAGTGAATATAGTGTCCTAAGCATTGTAAACTGTTAGGCTAAATACTTGCCTTCAATTTTTCTTCTCTTTTCATTTCATTTATTGTCCTTATTTGAAAGGCAGAGTTAAAGAGAGGGTGTCAGGACATTGGTTCACACCTCAGGTGGCCATAACAGCTAGCCCTGGCCAGGTAAAGCAGGAGCCAAGAGCTTCTTGTTTTCCTCCCGCATGGGCGCAGGGGACCTAAGCACCTGGGCTGCGTGCGGCTGCTTTCTCAGGTATGTTATCAGGATGCTAGAGCAGAAGTGGAGGCAGGACACAGGATGGTGGAGCAGAAGTGGAGGCAGGACACAGGATGGTGGAGAAGTGGAGCAGTGGGACACGGGGTGGTGGAACAGAAGTGGAGCAGTAGGAACGGGATGGTGGAGCGAGAGTGGAGCAGTAGGAACGGGATGGTGGAGCAGAAGTGGAGGCAGGACACAGGATGGTGGAGAAGTGGAGCAGTAGGAATGGGATGGTGGAGTGAGAGTGGAGCAGCAGGACACGGGATGGTGGAGCAGAAGTGGAGCAGCAGGACATGGGATGGTGGAGAAGTGGAGCAGCAGGACACAGGATGGTGGAGAAGTGGAGGCAGGACACAGGATGGTGGAGAAGTGCAGGCAGGACACGGGATGGTGGAGCGGAAGTGGAGCAGCAGGACACGGGATGGTGGAGCGGAAGTGGAGCAGTGGGACACGGGATGGTGGAGAAGTGGAGCAGCAGGACACGGGGTGGTGGAGCGGAAGTGGAGCAGCAGGACATGGGATGGTGGAGCAGAAGTGGAGCAGCAGGACATGGGATGGTGGAGAAGTGGAGCAGCAGGACACAGGATGGTGGAGAAGTGGAGGCAGGACACAGGATGGTGGAGAAGTGCAGGCAGGACACGGGATGGTGGAGCGGAAGTGGAGCAGCAGGACACGGGATGGTGGAGCGGAAGTGGAGCAATAGGACATACCCAGTACCATATGGGATGCCTTTATTGCAGGCATGGCATTACCATCCTCACTGGCCCTGGAGTTAGTGGTTAGTTTTTGTTTGATGCCTGTTTAAGTTCTGTGGCAAGATCATATGTTACATTAGAGTAGTAGATTTTGTAGTATGGAGTCATCTTTTTCATTCCTGGCACAACCAGCATATGTTAGTATTTTATTTGGGAATCTTATACATTTATTAGATAAAGTAGTCTGTGCTTTTCAAAAGTGCTTTACCAAATTAATGTTTTCAGGCTTTAGGAAGTATTCTTTCTCTGCTTTAGCCAGTTTAAATATTTTTATAAGATTTGCTTATTTATGTAAAGATTTATTTTTATTTTTATTTCAAAGTCAGATATACAGAGAGGAGGAG